TATTCTATTATTTATTATTATAAAGAAAATCTATTTCTCCTATTAAAAAATGATATCTTTTTCAGTGCTGCTCCAGAATGAGCATGTGTTAATACTGGACTGCCTTCCGTTGTGCTATTTTGCTGCTTTCCAAAACATCTGGGTTCCAGTGGCTGCCCGTGCCTTCCGGTGTTTATTAAATATAATCATGTTTCAGGAATATTTTCAAAAATGGTGATGTAATCCAGTTTCAAAGAGATGCTCAAAACTGAGTGAAGAGGAGAAATGCACTGATTAAGGAGGCTCCAGAAAGAATATATGGCCTCAGTTACACATAAACTTATCCTACTGGTTTCAAGGGCAGTTACACATGGGAACTTAATGGGGAATAGATGTGTACAGTCTGTGCACACAATTTCAAGTATAGAGATAGTTGCAGAAAACCTTTTCTGACCTTAATGTCAAGACTTAAATTTATGTGCAGATACCCCACATCTCCTGGTGCAGTAGTTTTAAATTTCCTTACTCACTCTTTCTTTGAAGTCTGCCTGCAGTGGTGTTACAAAATCATAACCTTTCCTGATGTGTGCTTTGCTTATTTTTCCCCTGTTGTTTTGATTTTTGTTCTTCTGCTCTGATCAGCGTGAGGCTTGATTTTAAATCATTTCTTTCCAGCTGCTTATTTTTCATGTGATTTTTCATGTGTTTTTTTTTTTTTTTTTACAGAATTACAACCAACCTCCAGTAATGGCCTTGGCTGTCCCAGTGGCGGTGAAATTTCTCCAGCGGGGCAATAAGGAGCTGTGCAGAAATATGTCGAGTTACCTCTCCTTGGCTGCTATCGCCAAAGCGGATCTGTTGGCTGAGCACACTGACACCATCGTCAAAAGTGTCCTTCAAGGTATGAATGCACTGAGAGTTTGGGATTTGGTCCTGCAGCATGCCCACCATGAGATTGGTCGGGCTGTTTCAGGCATATATGCAAATAAACACGTTATATGTAAAAATATATACGTGGCATGTATAAAGCATGTCTATGGACATAGCTATAAATGTGAGATAAAACATGTTAGACTCAATCCAAAACCAGACTGTATCAAAGACGACTTTTCAAGAATACATGAATTTACTCAGCCCGGTGGACAGTGTGTCCTGGTTTTGTGGCTGTGGGGTGTTCAGGTGCTTGTTGTTTTAAATGCTGACACTATAGAAGTTTCATTATAGGTTGTAGTAATAGACTTCAAATGGTGAGCCGTGATACGAGACACTACTCACTGGGCTCTTATCCTTTCTATTGGTGTCTTTGGCAATACTCCAAAATATAAATGGGAGTGAAATGAATCCCATTCTGTGGCAAAGTAGTCACATGTAAGTTATAAAAGGTTTTTGTAGTGGTTCTTTAATTTTGCCTACATTATTAGCTTTAGATAGAAATTTGTTGCTAAGCTCTGTACGTTTTGCTTTTATGGTTTAAACAAGCCAACAATGTTCATACCTCTGCAAAAGGAAGTCCAATTTAGTTGGGGTTGTAAAGTTCACAGTATTTCTTGCAGTACAGCGCTACTGCAGGAGTAAAGTCACAGTTTGTTTTTCTTCAAATATGGGTAATAGCAAAGAGTCTAATTGTTCCAAGAACATTGTTATGAAGATATTAAGCCTTCAAGATTAAATATGTGCATTCATTAAAAAATATAAATGAGGTGTAGTAGTTAATAAACGTGTTATGGAGCTAAATGTTTTATTATAGCTAAGCTAGAAAGCAATTTTGTCGTTAAGATGGTAAGAGTTTGCATATTTCTGTCCACTTTGTTTAAGGACAAATGTGTGATAGACATGATAAATATGTATGAGCGAAGTTATAATACTAATTGAGTAGAGTCCAAGAACAGAATATTGCTAACAACATGCAAAGCCACATGGATAATTCTTTTAAGATCTCTGACATTAGTATTTATGTGTTAATGTTGTGCATTACCACTTGTAACTCAGCGCTATTAATAGAAAGAAATAAAGTGAAACAGGTTTTATTTTAAAGCCACAGGTTTAGGAGAAATGATTAACAGCCACAACTGAAGGTTTCACCGTGACTGTTCCCGCTCGTTTTTGTGTATTTATGTTATTCTACCAGTAGATGTTGCTGTAGGCATCAGATTTGGGAACTGCAGACTGGAATGGGGCACTCTGAACAGGCAAAGCGCTCTGTTTTGTACAGTGGTTTAACGGCACTGTACAGAATTTGTACTTCGGGCATGAGAAGGTTGGTTTGCAGGCTCAGACAGTGTTTGCTGAGGGGAAGCAGCACGATAAGCTGCTGAAGATGGATTTACAAACCCAGAAGACAAAGGGCTTTGTTCTGGTGCCCCACGGCCCCAGCCAGGCTGATGGAGACCTGGCCCCCTGCCTGCCAGCATTTTGGAGATAACTGGGCTTTTAGAGTACTTCAGGCAACTGCTTGGCTGCCTAATCAGTTTCTTATCTTATTAGCTAAAAAAGAACTCTTTAGAAAGAGTATTTAACTGCTCTGTTCCAGTTAGTGTGAACTCAGCTCCCAAACATGCGAATATGGGTACGGTGCCGTGCTTGTCAGAGAGCAGAGCCGGGCTCAGCGACGTACTCTGGGCACACTCCTCTTGCCTTTGTGCCTTCATTTCTATGTTTGCAATTCAAGAGCATGGTTGCAGTGGCTTTTCTGTATTTGGAGCCCAATCTCCTCCAAGATACTATTACTTTGGTGTTTTCCAAACAGATAAAGTAACTGTTGACAAAAATATAGTTAAGGTAGGAAGGAAAGAGAGAAATGTGCTGATGGAGGAGACTTGTGGTGTTGGGCAGGAGGGGACTGGGCTGTGGGAAAGCTTTACTGCTCCATCGAGCTGGTAAAGGAAGAGCAAAGTGCTGGAAAGAGGAGATTTTCCAGCTGAGTCAGAAGGAAAGGCCTGGCTTTTCATTTGGTCATCGGCCAAACCAGAACAGAGATAGGAAAAGGCTTCTTCCAAGACAAAGCATTTCAGGTATGAGTAAGAAAAGCAGCCAGGAGAGATTTCTGGTGATCTTTTTGAGGGTTTTTCTTTTTATGCCATGTTTTGTGGACATTTGTTTTCATTTACTGGAGGGCACTGTATGGGAAAAGGACTTGGGAGCAGTTTTGCCCTTGCACAGTGTTGGGATCTCAAGTGTTTTCCTGATCTCTGAAGGTCTGTCCTGGCTGACAGCCGATGAATGGAGGCGATCTTTCATTGATCTGTAGTCAAGATACTATTTAGCAAGGGATTTTTGTCATGCTTGCTACTAAGCATTTATAATTTAGATACATTTTTATTCCAGGGTAATAGGAGAAATTCCAGCAATCAAAGCAATTATTTTTACCTTAAATAATGTTGCCAAAAATTTGGAGCAGATCACGTAACTTTAGCTATGAAGCACAACCCCCTTGAATGGCGCAGTAAAGTGGGAATTACCTTGTCATAGCTTTTTCTTACTACTTTTGTATCGTGGAAGGAAGAATCTGGTAGCTGCATCATATTCAGGAATAATAATCCAGGAATAAACTTTTCGAAGTGCAGTCTTAGACATCTATAGGAAATGAGAAAGACAGAAACACATGAACAGAGCCGAAGGGTGGGCTGCTCCCCATGGAAACAGGAATTGCTTTGAATAAGACATTTCCCACCATAATTTGTTCAGAGGCTTCAGCAGGTGGTGAAGAAGCATTCTTGTCATAAATGGTTACTTAGCCAGTGAGTAACGATTCATCACCGTCTACTTCAGCTCATTTTTCTATGCTCAAATCACCACCGGTGTCTTGGCTCTCTGCACCTGCATCTTACACATTGCATCCAGCCCTGTGTTTTCAGTGAATTTTGGATAAGCTTGCGAGCATGGGAGAAGAAAGCCGCTGCCACTGGATATTCATCAATTCTGCCTCATACAAACCTCCTGTTAGCATCGAGTTGGGTACTTTGGATATCTAAATGCACCTTAAAACTGAGTATGTCCCCAGATGACCAGCATTACACATGGGATACCGATTCCCAATTGGTACTTTCAGAGTTTTGGCTCACGAGAGGCAAGGAAAGCTTTAGTAAAGTATCTTTATTTACAGAACAACTGTACAAAAATAATTTCAATAAAATTATTACAAAGTCGATTTACAATATAATACAGCTGCATTTTTCTCAAAATGTAACATCAGATTATGATGGGGAATATTACTTTTATATGTTGGGTCAATCTGCGGCATAAATAATGCTCTAAACAAGGAGCTAGATTTGTTATAGTCTACAAATTACTAATAATGATTAATAAACAACACATTTCTTGGCTTATGTGGTTCCTCTGTATAATTCCCCTTAGCACCACAAAACCCAATGGAACATGCTCAGCCTCAGGTCTGTTCTGCTCAGCCGGATACCCAATGTATTGGTTTCAGCAGGGGTGCCAGGAGCACCAAAATGTCCTCAGTGGCACCCTTATACATTCAAAAACGCTGCGCTAGAGACAGAAGCCATCTGACCTCAGGAACAGCTTTTCCAATGCATGTCTTTTTCCGTGTTTTGCCAAAGCAGCAGGCAAAGATCAAACCCCATCTCCACAGTCCCTCGCTGTGTAAACTCACAACACTGATCTTCCTTGGGAATGGGAGAGATGTGGACTTCTGTGGCTCTGTTTGCTCGTACGTATTGGCATTCAGCTCTTTGAAATACATTTTCTGCCTCAAATTGCCTTGCTGGAATTTAAGAAATGTACTGGGCTCCTCCGTACGGTAAAACCTCTGTGACTCCCCACCCGACGACGTTGCCCCTGAAGCTGCACGCGTCTTCTCCGCTCTGCGCTGCCATCTCTTCATCACTGAGCACCCTGTCCCACATGTTAAAGCCTGTTAATTTCCCAGAGAAGGCTAAAGCTTCATCAAATCCACCTCCAACGCAGCAGCCATTCTTTTCTTGCCCAATCTGCAAAATCCCCCCATCGGGAATGGTGTGAGCATTAGCAATGTCCCAGGCGGTGGCTGCGAGCTCGCCCTTCACCCATAGGGACGCAGATCCATTCTCCGAGCTCCAGGCACCGCAGAGATGGATCCATTTCCCAGAAACGATGACATTTTTGGCAGTTAACTTGTGCTGGCCACCACCAACGATGAGCACCACGGACTCACGACTGAGATAAAGCTGGATTTCGTATGGGTTGAACTTGGTGCCGTAGGAGAAGACAACGGTTTTGTCCAAAGCCTCGGTCACCTTGATCCAGATACAAGCAGTGAAGGAGCGAAGGGTCATCGCAGCAGTTGGGTGAACGCTCCCAAATATCTTTTTTGAACGCATGGGGAACAGAATTGCTGTTTCACACCCTGGAAAAGTTGGGGAAAAAAAGAAAACGAGTTAGGAAGATTGGTGCTTGTCTGGGGAAGTTGGGTTTCCCCAAGGGTCTGTGCAGGGCAAGTGCCTTCTGCTCTGCTGGGCCTCCTGGGAAAGCTTCTCTTTGCTAGGTCACCATAATTACAACAGGTAATTATGCCAGGTAGTGCTCTCCCTGCTTCGTTTAGGTCTTGGTTTAGCCTCTGTGTGCTTTTTTTTCAGTATGTGGTGATGAAGGACGTGGAGATGTGTTTATTCATTATAACAACTCCCTTTGCTGACCCCGCTATTGGTCAGTAACTTCCACGTGTGCTGCTTAAGCGTGGGAAATGTAGAAGACTCCTGATATTTTTAAATATTGGAATACTGATATTTTTAAAACAGTTCATCTCTCGTCTCCAATTAATCAGTATATTGATAATAGAAATTAGTTTAGTTAAAGCCACAAACAGAAATTTATGAAACTTAGGAAAGTAACAGATGATCACTGAACTCAAGCTGTTCTTTGTATTCAACGTCCTGCTCCCCAGTCATATATAATTTAATATTCTAAGTGACATAGAGGAAAAAGCAGCCCCCTTCTGCAATTAAGCTGGTTCATTTCCTGTTTAAACAAGTGAGAGGATCTGAAATGTGTGTGGAAACTTCTGCTCCGGTGAATGAAGGACTCTTTGTATCCTCCAGCATTGGGCTGCTGTGTTATTTCACCAACTGCTTCCTTCCTACTTGGAGCAGATTTTACATTTCTTGTTGGGTTTTTCCAGGAGGAGCAGGGAGCAACTGTTGGGGATATTCCTTAAAATGCTGCTTAGGAGCACTATTGTGAAAAAGCTTTTAATTAGCAAGCTTTCAGGCTTTATTATCAAGGCCTAAACAAAATTAAAAGCAGCCCCGCTGAAGAACAAAAAGTGTGATTAGGAAATCCCTGTAGAGTATGGCTGGCAGTAATTCAAGATGTGAGAAATTAAAGTCAGTTGCTAAATTTTCTCTTGAAAAAAAATTCCGGAGAGATACTCTGGAAGTACTTAACATGTATCTTTTAAATTAAAAAACAAGAACTTTCTATGTGAAACCGTTTAGGAAACAGTGGCAATCATCTGTATTTGCACTGATGGGGCTGAGATCCTTAATGCTGATCAAGTTTTTTACCCTCACCTAGGGCAGAGTAATGGACTGTGAGGCTATGTCACAGGAGAGAGATAAAGAGTGAGATCAGGCTTTCTGGAAGGCAAAATTCATGTGTTTGGAGAAAAAAGGCATATGCTGTAAGATCTGCTCCCAGTGCACAAAGATTACTTAAGTGTTACAATAAATAAAGGAGCAAGAGTAATTTACCTTTAAAGCTGAACCCATGTCCTTCAAGAAAGGATGGATTCCTCTTAGACTTTGATGTAATGATGTTCATGTTGTGTTTGTACTGCAACAGGCTATGCAAGTTGTTGCGTTGTTGTAGCAGTTACACGGGGCAAGCAGTTACGCTTGCTTGTGTAAGAGCCTGATGCTAAGGGTGATGGCAAGGTGGGTGTAACTGCGCCCCAACTCCTTACTCACACGCCCCGTGGGTTCTGCGGGGATAGGTTTTGTGGGGATTTAAGCTGCAATAACTTATATTTGTGGAAAATACAGTTGTTAAAGGCTTGTCAGCTTTTACAAGACAGGCAGTGATAACTCTGTGGTAGGCAGAGCTGTATTCAATGTAGCTGTAAGTAAATAAATGATATTGTGTATGTAGCACTTCTGCACTCATATTTTAAATAGACAGGGGTCTGCTTTGCCATACCCAAGTTACTGTAGCTGCTTTTTGTGTGTCTTATAACAGCACACAGAAAAAACGACATGAAATTTGAAATACAAGCTCATCTTTCTATGGCCACCTCCCTTGAGGACCAATGCTGAACATTTTGGAAGTCAAAAAACCCCAACAAGCCAACAATAGCACAATGTTACTAATTTTTCCATGCTTGAGGAGCTATTCTGTCCTGACAGCGGCATGCAGTGAAGGTGCCCTCAGGGAAGTGTGCTTGGCTGGTGCCAATGGCACATCCTTGGATCTGCTCTGCTCTTGGGCACTTGGAGTTGGTGAGGAGGAGCCAGCCCTTGGTTTAGGAAGGGGAAGGAGGGGGTACAAGCATGAAGAGAATGGGGGAGCCTAGTGTGTATGCGGAGGAGCTACCAGCTGGGAAGGTAAAGGGCAAGATAATATAATTTGTATGTTTAAAAATATGTTTGCATCTATTTGCACCCGTTTTGATCTGGGAGAGCCTGCAGGACGTGAGATCCTGTGGCTGCTTTCCCCTGTGTAAGGGCTTTGATTAAACCCTCCTTTGATCCGATGTTTGAAAAGCTCAGCACCTCTTTTTTGAGAGCAGCTGATGGGTTTCCTCCCTGTATGTACAGACTGCTTTGGAGAGTCCTATGCAGAGGAAAGTGTTAAAGAGGGGTGGTTTTGGTGGCCCTGACATCCTATGGAGAGCTCTCCGGTGAAGCATGGACTTACCTGCTGGCAGTAAGCGCTGAGCCGCCCATTTCTGCGATGCCTTCAGTTCAGCTCTGGTCTGCTGCAGCTCCTTCCACAGAGAGTTCAGAACGAGATTGTCCCCTCTGGTGGGACTGAGTTTATCCTGTCTAAAAGCTGTCTCCTGAGCCTCTGCCTCAGCCCTCTGCTGCCAGGTGCTCTCCAGGCGGCCGAGCCTGCTGGACATGTTGTGGCTCAGCTGCAGGACCTGCTCAAGGACATTTCCTTGCTCACACTCCTGAAGCCTCTTGGCTCCTTCAGCTTGGGCACCGCTCCTCACAAACACCTCCTCTATCTGGGACATGACGCGGGAGGTGACTTTCTCGATGGTGGTGGCGAAGGTGGCAGTGAGCTGGCCCAGCTCTGCCTTCAGTGTCTGCAGGTCCACCTTCAGGACGTCGTCCATAGCCTGCAGCATCATGTTCTCCTTCATCTGCGAGTTCTCCAGCATGATGAAGAGCTTGTCCCACTCGGTGTGCTCCCGCTGGCAGTCACAGGAAGCAGCTGGAATGGAAGATGCAGATGTTGCTGCTCTCTCTTTGTACTTACATTTTTAAACAGAAGGAGCATTTGACAAAACCTGGCTCTGTGCAAGGCTTATGTGCTCCAGACTGTCAGTGCATTTCCCTCTATCAACACAGAAAGGTAAAGCAGTGAGTATTATAGCAATTCTAAAACTAAGTGTTAGCAGCAGTGTTTTGCAGGAAAACTAAAAAATAAAAAGTATAAAGCAAGTTTCAAGGCACACCATCCAAGTGCTTTAGCATTTGCTGTCCATAGTAAGGTACTGGTACAGGCGAATGCTTCTTCCTCTGATATAAAATGTAGGTTTGCAGTAATAACTCTTACAAGAGCTAAGCAATCGAGAAGGCTTAACACAAATTTAGTTTAAATCTACTTACTTTCCTCAGCACCGAGAACGGGACCTTCAATTTCATTATCCAGGTTCACGTACATGAGATCGTAGTCATCGTCCTCATCCAGACCAGAAAGAGAAGCCCTGAAAACACAGAAAAGTGTGAGCAGCGAGAGCATTTCTTGGGGCAGCATTCCTGAAAATCGCTGAGCTGTCTGGAGCTGGAGCCGGAGTCAGCCGTGAGCGGAGACGGGAATGAGCGAGGGAGCTGCAGTGAGCCCCTAATAAATGCTGCGAGCGCCTTGGCTCGAATGAATGAGCAAGGCGAGTGCCCGTGTTGTAATAGGAGCACTTCTGGGTGTTGGTTTTGGCTGGGAGGAGAAGGGGGCGTGCAGCTTGCTCAATCCCAGCCCTCCAGGTCTGTGCAGGGGAGATGGAGAGGGGCTGAAATGCGGAGGGGAAGGGACGGGGAAAACTGTGTCCCTTCTGAGAGCAGCTGGCTGTGATGTGCACTCATGCCAGGGTGGGAGCAAGGAGACGAAATTGCTCAAAGCTCAATGCCTACACTGGCTGTGTTGATCATGATATTTTGTGTTCGTGGCAGAAAGCATTCTCTGCAAACTCATTTTGTAGTTGTTATGCGCCAGGTCTCTGGAGGGAATCAGTAAAAAAATAGATCTACTTTTGTTGATTTGGATACATTTGTATGGTTTAAAATATTGCAGCTTTTTTGATAGTTATGTGTAAAAACTTCTATTACATAGTAGCAGCCTAGTGCTTTAAGCAATAAAGGAGAACTCATTCAGACAGCTTGCTTTCTAACCCTAATTACCAATAATAACATCACAACTGTGGATAATGTTACTGCTGGTATCTTGTTTTGGGAGCATACAGATTAGCAGCTGTGTGATTAGAGTTGTTTCTGTTAACTTTAAAGAAACAAAACAAGGGGCTCTTGGATTAGGCATTAATCTAGTGCCAAGTATTATTGTTGTTGGTGTTAATCTGTTTTAAATTCTAGAAAGCTTATCAGTTCAATGGGCCATTAATTTACTTAAGAGGTGCACTGCTTAGGCGAGGTTAGGGGTAATATACTGATGGTACCAATTATATATTAGCTATGAAGTATTTGGAGAATTGCAAAACCCCCCCATAATTGCATCTGATTTGCAATCTGTGATCCCATTCTGTCTGAGTCTCTGGTTTAGCCCCTTATTGCCACACACAGGAGTGTGTAAAGAGGGTCCAGACTCACACCATGCTGAGGTGGGAGGGGACCTCTGGAGAGCACCCAGTCCAACCCCTGCCAGAGCAGCTCACCCAGGAACACATCCAGGGGTTTGGATGTCTCCAGAGACGGAGAGTCTACACCTGACCAAATCATGGAATACCAGGTTGGATGGGACCACAAGGATCATCTGGTCCAAGCTCTCAAGGTAAAAGTATCGTTTTATATACTCGCCTCTCTGGGCAGCCTGGGCCATGCTCTGGTACCCTCACAGTAGAGACCTCCTGTGTTCCAGTTTGTGACCCTTGCCCCTTGTCCTGTCACTGAGCACAGCTGAGAAGAGTCTTGTCTCATCCTCCTGACCCCTGCCCTTTAGGTATTTCTAAGCATTCCTGAGATCACCCCTCAGTCTCCTCATTGTTTAGTGGTGGACACATTATAGCTGGACTCTGTGATCTTAAAGGTCTTTTCCAACCAAATGATTCTGTGATTCTCCAGGCTGAACAGCCCCAGCTCTCTCAGCCTTTCCTTGTAAGGGAGGTGCTCCAGTCCCCCCATCATATCAGTGGCTCTGTGCTGGACTCTCTCCAGTCGTTCCTTGCCCTTCTTGAACTGGGGAAGGCTCCTGGCACTCTAACCTGGGCCACCTGAGCATTGGGGTGCTGGCCATGTACTGCGCTATTCCTACATGCCAAAGTGTCTCCGTGTTTCACCCTATGTACCTATGGGGTTCCTGCCACTGCAGGACCTCCAGCTGCTCTCTTGCAAACACCAATAATAAATACTAACATCAGCAATATATTAGAAACCTCAAAATTTTGATAAAGTAGAGGTGAGCATTTTTGGGGAGGTATGTGCCTAACTTCAGTCATTCTGGGGGAAAAACCTGATCCTGGGGCAACCGGGGCAGGTTGGCACCATCACAGCACGTGGTTGTGGTCGCTTCTGCTGTACCATGCCCCTTTCTCACCTGACATGTGGCCAGTGGGGCGAAGCCATCGAGTGTCCTCAGCTCTATGTTGGTTTCTGCCTGAATTGCACAATTCCCAGTGTGTGGTCTGCTTGGAAAGTCTGAGAAAATATAATCTGGAAAGTATCGGGAGGGAGCGTGGTGGGGAAGGAAGAGGGAAAGAAGGTAATTAAGGAGCTGAGTATAATGTTTTGCTGTTTTCAGACAGCAAACAGACTTTTCAGGCTCTTAGTTTAGTCTGAGGCAGATGAAGCAAGATGGAAAAAAGTCGATGGGCTCAATATCACCTCTGAAAGCCCATGCTCCAGGAATTAAAAGGCTGGTGAGCTGCATGTGTGGTAATCCCTTAGAAACTGAAAAGGTGTGACAAACAAATGGCAAGAGGTACTGAGAGCTGGCTCAAAACATGAAAATATGAGAAAATAGTGAATTGGGTTGCACCTCATCACCTTTCTTAAGTTATATGAAGAACAGACACAAACTGTGATGTCGGCTTGGACTGTTTACAAGTTTGTAAACCCAGGTTATTCAACTAAAAGCAATTCCATGTCAGTGAGGTCATTTAACCACCACCCCAAGGTGATGGGGTTGCTTCTCATTTATCTTGGTCAGTAAACGTAAACCCAGCAACATTTGCTGTGTGGTAACTGAAGGAAACTGCCCAAATTTGTGTCCGTACAAAGTATTTTTTGTTTAGAGAAGTTTCCTGACTGCGATTCACCAGGTTGTGTCCTGTCGAATTGCATCATGCCTCTAAAACAGACAATACTTAAAATGCTCGTTTAATCAGGTTGAATAATTAGTATAACTTTCCAGACACCTTCCTATCTGTGACATCCCAGCTTAGGGAATAGCACATTCCCAGTTAGTGGCCATCTTTCCTTGTTTAAAGCTGCTGGTTTTGGTTCATCTCTGCTGAATTCCCTCTCTCTACACTTTTTACAGCTGAGATTAATTTTGGCCATCCAGGAACATGGGAATTTCAGCTTTTGCAATTGTTACCATTGCTAAAATTCATCTGGAGCTTGAGGGCTCTGTTCCCTATAGGCAGAAAACTTACAGGGGAAACTGAGCGTGTGCAAGTGCAACGAGAGGATTTATTGCTGTAAGCACTAAATTATCTGGAAAAGCAAATAATTTTTAGTGTATTCAGTTACAAAGCTCTTCAATTTCAAACTTGGATGAGAGTTGAGAAAAGTTCAAGTAAATGCATCCTCTCACCAGTTCAGTCCTAACTGTGGGTGAATTGGTGCTTTGCGTGAATCCCACAGTGCGTTAGCGTTGCTCGTAAAAAAGGCAACGCTTTTTTACAGAGTCTCTTGTAACATCAGGAAGAGATTTGCATGAAGAATGTGTCTAGAAAATGGCCAGAGCTGAACAGCTTGCTAATCTGTTTAGGCCAATTCATCTGCAAATATCTTTCCTTTGCAACTGGCCTTCGTGTGTTGTATATAGAACAAAACAAGAAAGAGATTCGCCGTGTCGCGGGGTCTGAACGGCAGTGCTTGCACGGGGGGCTCAGAGCTGCCTTCAAGGGGCAGCCAGTGACTCTTCAAGCACAACAAATGCTTTGGGAGGGGTTGCAGAAGTGTGGCTGCTGCACGAGGACCCCATAGGGATAATTACGAGCCCTTCGACTCAAAGTTGTCTGAACCTGCAATGAATTACATATTTTTTACTTGGCTCAAGGTGATGTAGAAAGACCTAACAGTGTCTTGGGGTGTGTTATTTCTATCTGGCAAGATGGGGCAGACTGGACCACATATCCTCCTCCTACCGTCCATGGAGTGACCTGCTTAGCTTTCAGAATTACAAGGCTCAGATTTAAATGGGAGAAAAAGCAGCGGGCCAGAGCACTGGTTCCTATGGGAAACCAAATCCAAAGAGACCTGAAGGACTTCCAAGGGCTTACAAAAAGGAGCCACACTACACTGCGATAGGCAGATGTTTTCCATATGTTCTTCAAGTGAAACTTAAATACATCGAGGCAGGCATGAACAGCAATGTGAAGTTATATATTTTGGTATGAGCCTGGGCTTCAAATTGAATTATGCACAAACATCTTAAGAAAATGCGTGAGAGAGGGTTTTGCGTATCTGTGTCTGTCTGCAGTTGGCTCCTCTGACTCCTTTCTATTCCTGGAAACAGCATCCTTAACTATTTATGTTCAAATTTATTGTCATGCATTAAGTCCTCTTAATAACCAACTATTCTTTCCATGTGCTGCTTATTTAATTTGAAAGTCAGAAGCGCAACAAAGGAGAAATATAGCTTTTATGTGCTTCCTAGCTTTCCTTTTTTTGTTGTTAATTTAAATCACAGTTTGGTCTGGGACTCAGCAGAGCATCATTCAAATCTGAAAGCTCATTAAGAAGCCTTGTTGTGATATTGTACTTAAGAATGAAAATTATAATTAATAGGATTTTTCTTTTTTTAAGACCTATGTTTTTATAATGCTTTCCTCTGTAATGATTTGCTCAATTTGGGTTATTTATTTGTCTTCTAGGCCCAGTATATATCTTTTTCTACAGTGTGTTTTATGCCATTTTGTACAAATGATGCTTAAAAGCTGGCGTCTCTGGGTTTGTGCCAATTTTCTGGGTCGGTCCCTGACTATAGGATATGGACACATAGAAAGTCACCGACCCCTTGCTCTGTCCACAGGGAACGTGCTGCTGCTGCGGGTCCTGCCCGCTCTGTACGAGAGGCGGCCGCAGCCCATCAACCTCTGCCTGCGGGACCTGGTGGCACTGGCAGCTCAGCTGGACCCAGCCGAACACCACCACCTCCTGCGGCTCCTCCAGACCGTGGCGAGGAAGAAGGAATTTGGGGTAAAACGGGGTTTGGAAGACCTAAATTCTCCACCTCCTTTTGGGGGAGCTGATTGGTTTCAGATGACTTGGCAAGGTCTGTGCTAGCTGCTCTTTGAACAGTGAGGAGTCCCATAACACGCATGGCAGTGCTTTTTTACCCTAAATCCCTGTGAATTCTTTAATTCCACTCCAAATTCTCCATCTAATTGTAACGAGAACATAACAATGACTCTGCTGGACCCAAAAGTTTGTGTTAAACCAGAACTGTTTTCAACTTTTTTGGCTCTTCTTCTGTCAGTGGGGTATGAATTCCCATAGCTCTGTTTCTGTTAGAATATACGAACTGTATTAAATTACATATCAAGGAAAATCAGCATGAGCTAGGAATCAATTAGGAGCGAGCTGGAGATTAATTAAGGCAAAATACATCATGCTTTGGAAATTGCATGTCATTAACAGCACCCTGTGCATTGCAACAAGGAACACAACTACCTGCTTTGTGGATTTATGATCTTCATAAAAATCCTTGGAAAAGAAGAATCAACAGTAGTTAGTATCCTTCCCTAAAATGCCAAGGGAATTTTAGCATCACAGCCATTGCCAGATGAATTGAAGCTCCCTTCAGAAGCCAAGGGGCTGGGGTGCACCACTGATTATTGCAGGGCTCCAAGCTGGAGCCAACCCGTGGGAAGTTGCTTTGTATTCACATTATTACTATATTATTATTATTTGTTACTACTAATAACTTATTCAGCCACCCACCTGAGATATTTTGCCAGAGTGATAAGTATCAACTTGCCAAAACTGATAATCCTAAAAGAAATAACAGAAAAATGGGTCAATTTCTACCCCGTTTCTGTGTGGAAATGTCTTTTACACAGATGCAAGTTTCACTGAATCAGAGGTGTATTAGCGTACACGTGTGTTTATGTGACAAATAATCACTCAGCAGATAGTTATATACACCGCATCCTGTTTGTAAGAGGATTTTAAGGACTAAGCCCTCAGCCTCTTGAAAATTGGGTTGTTACAAGAAATTACAACTTACCTACAGCATTTATTTTTGTTCAATGAGGATTTTGCCTCTTTTTTTTCCCTCTCTTTCAGCTATTGACCTTGTTACGTTATTTAGATTCAGGTGGAAACCAAAAATTTCTAATACTTTAATTTACCGTATCATTGGGGAAGGCTAAGTCTTATATTTTAATCATTAAAGTATAGGACTGGCCCAGAGCAAGGGAAATACTTGGTGAGGGGTTTTTTTTGGTCTTTTTTTTTAACAATTGGGCATTTCCTTACTTATATATGCATAACTGCAATATTTCAAGGCTGCAGCTTACCCTTATTCCATATGTTGAGCTGAACTTGGATTGACCTCAGCAATAGCTCTGCGCAGAGGTCAGCGAGGGTGCACAGCTATTTCACTAAATCAAAGGCTGGCGTTTTATTTTTATCACTGCGATGTACGGTACCTCTTTTGGTTAGATGCGTTCACAATTAAAAAAAAACAAACCTGGTCACAATTCAAAGTTATATTCAAAATTTGCTTCTGTCTGATTTTTTTTTAATAGGTGCTGAAAGAGTGCATTCCGTTTCTGTTTGGACACTTGAGAGACCCCAACCACAGTGACATTGTTCTAAACATCCTCATAGAAATATCCAGCTGTGAACCAACAGCCTTGGCCGCTTTTCTTCCAGCCCTGAAGGAAATCGGTGAGGCTTTTCCAGGTTTAATTGGGCAAACGGCAAAGATCTTTGGAGCTGTTGGTCGTGTTGATGAGGTAAGTTTGAAATCAAGAGTTGGTTGGGTTTGGGGTTGGCTTGGTTGGGTTTTTTTTGTTTGTGAGTTTGGTTTTTGGGGGGTATTATGTGTTTTTTTATATAAATCTTGTATAATGTAATGGATCTATGTATTCCTTTCTTCACAAGTAACCAGACTGCCCTACCAGAACATATTCTTTGTCTTAAGACCACGATGGCTCTTATACCACCAGATATACATACCAGATACCACCAGTATGGCTGGGAGAACAAGTCCCACCACATCAGATATGGTATTTTAGAGACCCAGACTGCCTTTGGTTGGAAAATCAAAAGAACAATTGTGTAGTAAAAGGGACTCTGCAGATACTGGGCTTATTTTACTAGGAAAGAAAGAAACTTTTTAGAAGAGACTAAAAAGCATGAAAAAGATAAATATTTAAATTCTTATAGCTCTGAAGACAAATACAAAAACTATTAAGAACAAGTACCACCACATCAGATGTGGTATTTTAGTGACCCAGACTGCCTTTAGTTGGAAAATCAAAAGAACAATCGTGTAGTAAAGGGTCTCTGCAGATACTGGGCTTATTTTACTAGGAAAGAAAGAAACTTTCTAGAAGAGACTAAAAAGCATGAAAAAGATAAATATTTAAATTCTTATAGCTCTGAAGACAAATACAAAAACTATTATTATTATTTACCATGTATCTGGTCTCTGCACATGTAAGTTCTGTTTATATGAAGTGCTTTTTATGGAATGCTTAAAACTCCTATTTGATAAAAAGCACGTAACTGTCGTTATTCCAGGGGCTTAGCAAAGTTAGGTCGCTGTGTACCCATATGTGGAATAAAAAGGGAAAAAAATGTTGCACAGCCTTGGTATGATATCAAATTCTAGATGCATACAGCCCGCAGGAATGTCGTAATCACACAGTGAAATGTAAACTTCCTCCTATAGCGTCATCCAGAGAGTTTGGCTGTTTAGCCATAGTTAATTGGATACTTCTGACAAGTGTCTTTATATTGAAAACGCTCAGTGGTGATGCTGGGCTCAAGCCTCTTCACAGGGACATCTTCACAATTGACTCAGTTTGGAATCTGACCCAAAGAAGACTCAGAACTGGTTAGATTTATTGATTACATATAATGTTTTTTTAAATGAGATCTGATTTTCATTCCCAGGTATGCACTTAGGTGTCTTTCACCACGGGTTAGCAGACATTTTCCTACCACCTCATATAATGGTTCTGTAAAGGCAAAAATAATGTTCTGCTGAATTCAAAGAGTTTCTGGTAAAGAATTGATTTTTTTCTTTTTTTGGCTGTGACAAAACTGGATTATACGGCAGCAAACGGATGGTACATGACAAATCTAACCATTTGCTGAAGTGTAGCACTAATGCCTGCCGTGCAGTAACTTGGATAATTCATTTCAGTGATCCTTGAGGCAAAACTTGCACTAAGTTTTGCACAAACTCAACTGGAGTTCGTCTGCAGGAAGGTGGTGTTTTCACCGCAGACTTTGCCTTTCTCAGCCAGACCTTTTGGTTGCCCTGCCTTTGACTTCAGTTTGGAGGGAGGAGGGGATAAAAAATGGCATCGTTTTGCTGTGCGTTGGGAAAATCCTCCACATATTCATCTTCTCCCTTGAAGATGACAGATTTTCCATTTGTAATCCTTTAGATACAGATAACGATGTGCTCTCATCAATGATAGCGGTCATCGGAGAATCTCCAGAGAGACTTTTTTCTCCTGAGAAAACAGTTTCTTCCCTTAAATCTCAGGAGTGGAGGGTGTCTGATGGCCATGGGTATGGCACAGGAAGGCACTACACTTGCTGTTTGTACTGATCCTGATCTTTATATTAATTTAAAATGCAATTTATATTGTGAGAATCAAAACCAGATTTGGTTTAGCTTTGTAAATCTTATTTCTAGGGAGGAGGAGAACCCAAAATCGCATTGAAGACTGTAAGCCCAATGAAGTTTATTGTTCTCCCCTGGTTTGTGTACATCACCCCAGAAAAATTTACCTTTATAAGGACTGCAGCTGACTGCATTTAGGTCTGTGTTTACTACCAAAGAGTCACCATCTCCTAAAGCTTTACAGCTTATAGCCAGCTAATCCTCAAAAGAGCACAGCTGGGACCAGGACTGAAGGATTTCTTTAGGATTCTGTATTTTAGCTTCTTGAACCAACTCTCCCCACATGAGTGACTCTGAGGCTCCTTTTCCACTGTGTTCTGCTGCTTAAACAGGACTGAATTTATTTTGCCTTTTGTTGTTGTTATTGTTTTATACCAATATGAAGAATAAGCAAGGAACCAACTGGACTTGTATTTCATATATTGTTGGAAATCACAGACTACAGTCAAATTAACAAAGAAATGATTTGCAGAACACATTATTTTTTTAATCTGTTGGATAATCTCCGATATCTCTTGTAATTGTCGAGTAACTGGCATTATGTCCCGTGTTGTATGTCTTATTTTTGTAAGAAGGTGCTGAGTTAGCAGCAGGCTTCATTCCAGCCCATTTTTGGAGGGATGGTGCGCTTTTCCTTCCTTCGCAGTGGGCTGTGTGTTAGTGATAGCCAGACACCTATCACCAGATACACAAAAACATGGATAAAAGCAATGTGCAAAGGCTGCAACGGTTTCTGGGGGTATGAGGAGCTGCTTTGGTGGGACGTTCATTGCTCCACAACTACCTGGGGTTGCAGCAGAGCAGCCATGGTGACCAAAGGGTCTATGTGGCTCTTGTGTGTTTAGTTACATGGAGGATCTATTTTTTCTTTTCTCTTTTTCCTTTTCCCTTGTAAATGTTTTATTTGCTTTACTCCAGCGGTTCCTTGTGTAGATTTTGCCCCCACCCTATGGTGAGCCAGGAGATGGGTGGTGTCTCTGGATGCTCCCACGCAGATCAGGCCTCTTGAAAGGAAATATAAATGCCTTTTTGAATGCCCTGATGGATTTCACTGATGTATGGGGCATCACTCAATCAGCCTGCGATAAAACAAGCAGAAACACATCTGGCATCATAAAGCTGGGCAGATCTTAAAGGCTCGGTACATAACAATGAGTGCACCCATAAGAAATAATTAAAATAACACTGATCTATAAGCATCACTGCTGAGTTACAAGCATTACTGCACCAATTAATTTATTTAGATAAGGTACAAATAGAAATGCTGCAGGAAAATTGTGCAGACGTGTGTGCTGCTGCTGGTCTCACCTCGCAGCCTCATGACAATGCCTTCACGGAAACCTCTGTTGTCACTTGTCCCCCCCTTCCCCTTCCTATAGCGGAGCTGTGTTATGGTTATGCTGCTGGCTCTTAATTATAGATGTGAATCAGCATCCCCTTCCCAGCCAAGCAAAACAAGTGGGAAATGAAATGACAGCGGTGGCATTGGAATTTTATTCATTGACATTTTATTTCATTGGGCGGTTTACTTGGGGAAAAGAGGAGGCAAAGGTTGAGGCTCAGCCCTTTATGTAGATAAAAATTGCAGATATGAGCAGAAAATCCTTTCTGCTGCCTTCTAGAAGTGCTTTCCTGGATTACTGTCTCCAATTTGGCAGCTCGGATAGACCCTGGAGAGATGAGAGGTTTGGCTGCAAGGAGACCGCTTTAATTTGGAGGTTGCCCCCTTGCTTATAAACGCCACTGTTGATGGCAGGGACGGTCTCAGGGGTGAAGCTGAAATCAGAATTTGTCCCTTAACCATAAATCTGTGCAAAGCAAAACACCATCTTGGGGCATAGCTCAATTGAACATTTTAATTTTTGTTGTTTTGTTGTTGTTTTTTTCTAATAACTGTATGCTTTGAACCAACTGGAAACTGGAGTTACTTCTGAAAGCCTTTTGATCTCTTCTTGCAGTCTTCTGAGCCCGAGTTTCGTAGAATTTTTTAAGCTAAAGTAAGATACTTTGCCACACCTCACTTCATCTTCACCTATGGGCAGAGGTGATGCCACAAAATGCAAGGGATGCTTCTGAAAAAATACACAAATATGTAAAATAAGGGTTGTTAAAATAACAACGGGTTGTGTTATATCCAAATAGGCTTTCTGAAAATTTTTGGATAAAAATTGTGGCAGGGATAATGACTGCTTTCATGTTGAGCTATTTTGCTGTAATTTTGTTTTGTATAGCAGCTCCATATTATGTTACTCAGTGGAGTTTATTGTTCTTTTACCTCACTGCGGGCGAGTAGCAGCATTTCAGCAGGGCTGGAACTGCTCCAGCCGCATCAAAGCGACCTGAAAGCGGTCAGAACTTCTCTTCCAGTTACGTCTGCTGCACCGTTTGTTTAGGAAACCAAAATGTGTTTTAAATGTTAATTGAGCCTGTGTTTATCTCTTGGAGGGAGGGTTGTCTTCCAAATAAACCAGTGAATATGTACAAAAAGGCAACCTCTTTCAAGTCATTGATAAAAAAGCTCTTTTTCTCCTTGCCCCAGCCCAGCCCAGCCTAGCGAGGATGGAGCTGTGCATTTTCCCCATATGGCTGAGGGGAAGCAATTTCTCTGCCACACTTTTCCCATTTATCTCTGTCATGGCCTGGTTTAGCAAATCCTCTTTTGCTTAAAGTAAGTTGACTTTTTGCTTGAGAAAATGTCTCATTTGCGATGCTCAGGCTGTGTTCTGCCAATGTCCCCCTGTATTTTATGCCCCAGCTGTACTTGGAATCAAACTTTCAGCAATTTTTTCCTCTCCTATTACACAGTCCTGAAGAGAAGAGGTAATAAGGGTGTTATTGTGGATGTGTATGACACACGGCTCCCCTTCCTTTTCTGCTGACCCTTGGAAAGAAGAGACCTTAATTTTTCTAAAGTGCATTTGCTTGCATTTCTGCACAGGCTCTAAAAGCAAAATATTTGCCAATATCTCCCAATTTCTGTGGGTGTTGCTCCATGGAGCCATGCCCAGTTACCCCAGTGGAGGATCTGATTTGAGCTCCTGACTTAATTGTTGCTTTCTCTGCCGCTTTTTCAAATCAGATATTTTTAGGAACTAAGACGCTTAGTACAATTACAATAAAATGGAGAAACCCTCATGTGTTTCTTCACCTTTGGGGTTTCTGTTGTGGTATGTGAATTTGTACGTGTATACAGAAATAGTAGGAACTGGACCTGTGTGCCCTTGCCTAGCAGAGATGCTAAAACATGATCTGAAACAGCTCCTTTAATCCTGATTTGTGATCTTGCTGATCAATTGGCGAGACCACATCGCCCTGGTAAACTGGGAAGCAAAACTTTGGCTGTGGAGGGCTTATCAGGCTTCTGTGCATTGGCAGTGATTGATGCAGCTGGGATGAAATTGTAAAACAAAATCCCAATTAAACTTCTCTTTGTTTTCGTGTTAGTAATGGGTCCTATCTAAGTCCCCTTTGGTCCGGGTAGCACTGATGATGACAGGCCCTTGGGTGACACTGCTAAATACAGCAAATTGGCAACACCCAACAGGTCCTGAAAGGGAGTTGTGATTGGTGAAGTGTTTTATGGTCTGAAAATGGATATTTGCTCCTGGCAAAGCGTTTGTAACACTTAATGGCATGCACAGAATTCACTGCGATTGCCTGGTGATTCTTTGCAGTTATGGAGTGGAGAGTAACATGGACAAAGGAAAAATCTGGAAATTAGCCTGGTAATGAGGCTGTAACAAAGAAGCAGAACTGCAGTCAGTCATGGGTCATACAATTTGTGTCCATGTTAATGCCACCATGGCTCGATGTACTTCAGGTTGAGTACAGATATGAGGAAAAAGACCTTGGGGGAGAAGATGCTGTGAATCAGAGCAGCATGTGTGAGTGCTTGGCCCCGTGCAAGAGAGTTTTCCAGCCACAAACAGTGCAGAACAAAGCAAAAAAAGAGCCCAAAAGCTGGGTATAGGAGATGAAGTAGCTTGGCCAGGCCCTTGAGGCTCAGCAAAGGTGCCAGTTGAGGTTGCGCTGCTGCTGGGGCTCTGGTCACAGAGCCCGGCTGGTCCTGCACCCCAGGGCAATGCAGGGCCTTCCCAAGAGGTTTTTGGGACTCTGACTTTAGGTTTGAGGAGGAGAGAAGCTATGCTGAAGTTAGGCTGGGTTAGGTAATACCAAGAGGAGTAAAGGTAAGGTGAACAGTGCACACAAATAAACTCTGCCTTTGATGTGCTTGCCTTTTTGTTGGTTCCTGTGGAGGTGCCGGTATTCCCCAACGACAGTGTTTTAATCAGCAGCGTGCATAAAAACTGCCCTCACACAAGCAAACAATGACTGAATTTGTTTAAAACTGTTTTTATCTCCTCATGTTGTCTAGGAGCGAGCCAGAACGTGCCTGATGTACCTGGTGACCCAGCTGGCCAACATGGAGCACTCATTCCACCACATCCTTCTGCTGGAGATCAAGAGCCTCACTGATGCCTTCTCCAGCATCTTGGGCCCCCAGAGCAGAGACATCTACCGCATGAGCAACAGCTTCACTGCCATAGCCAAGCTCCTTGTCCAGCAGCTGGAGAACGACAGCACGTCCACAGCCAGGTAAAGTGAGTTTTTCCTAAATCATGGAATGGTTTCGGTTGGAAAAGACCTCAAAAATCATCGAGTTCAACCACTGAACCAGTCCTAAGTCTGCCACTAGACCATGTCCATGAGTATGACATCTCTTCATCTGTTAAACACCTCCAGGGATGGTGACTCCAAAACCCCCCTGGGCAGCCCGTTCCAGTGCCTGATAACCTTCTCACTAAAGAAATTCCTTCTCAGATCCAACCTAAATCTCCCCTGGTGCAACTTGAGGCCATTTCCCCTTAAACTATCAAGAGATCAACTCCCACCTTGCTATGTCCTCCTTTCAGGTGGTTGTAGAGTTTTTGTATGATAAAGCCATGCCATCTCCATGTGTGAGGCAGTATAAATTTATATTAAATATATCCAATTTGCAACGAATGAACAATCAGCTGAGAGTAAGTTGTACTGCGGTTCCTACGAGTTTCTACATTGCCATTTTCAAATCCATCTTGATATCTATCTTGTACCATTCCAGTATATAATCGCTCAGCCATTGAATCGTGTGATTTACAGGGTGAGGTAAGCATACACATTAGTTTATGGGCAACATCCCTACCTAGAAAAGTAACCTGAAGTATGCACATCAAATGCAAGCAGGATGATAGACACTAAAGCAGAAATCCGTAATTAAAGGGCAGCAGTAGGAGCTGTAGGTGCTCTGCAGACGAATAAAGCAGCCGTTAGAGTTCTAGCACTTAAAGCACAGGAAGTAAGCTGTGTCTCAGATAAGCAGACTAAGGCAGTCGAAAAAGCTTCAGTTAAAAATAAATCAGTGAAGTCAGGCTACACAATTAGCACTGGGTCTATTCTAGAAGATAACCATTGAAGCTGATGAGAAAAATGAGTGTTGTTCTGATAAAGGTTTGCTAAAAAAGTCCAAAAAACCATTCAAGCTTGTATAAGAAGATGTTCTGCTCACTCAGCTGCTTTTAAATGTGTATTCTAAGGTTAAAGCATTGGGAGTATTTGCTGCATTTGTCGCAGTAAGAATGTACGCGTTATTTAAATATACGGTGGTAGTCACTTTTAATTAGGGAGAGGCTTATAATTAGCATTTTATATACTGAAATAGGTCAGGAGGGCACGAAGGAATAGTAATTCTGTGATAAAATGTAACACAGATGTCAGAAAACTCATAACCATGAAGGACAGCCCGGGAGACAAAGTGGTGGAACTGGAGCCAAAACACTGAGGTCATTTGAGAAACAATTAATTGGTGTCCTGGAGAGAGTTAAAAATGAAAAAGGAGAGGAATCCCACCACACTCACTCATTTTGTAAGGCTGTAAGAAATGTCGAAACTTCACCTGGTGGGAGAAGCCTCTGCTGAAATGGGCTCGTTTTACAAAAAGTTTCATTGAAGACGGTCAAAAAGCCCCAGAGGAGATAGCAAAGTGAGCGTGAGATAACATACACATTTTCCAAAGCACTCAAGTTCAGTGGTGAAGAGGAGTCTGCCAAATGTCACTTGGTGAAGGGGACCAGAAGGATGTCCCGTTTTCTGGGAACTGCAGTGAAGCAGGACAGGAATTGAGCCTTTAGTAACAAAACAGAATAGTTATTCATGCAGCCCATCATGGTCCCTTGATTTATGATTGAATAATTACTTTACTTGCTAAAATGTTGTCATATCCCTATTCTTCATTTCGTGCACCTAACATTTATCATTAGGGTTGGTAAAAAACCCCAGAGGTTTTCACTAAAAACCTCTGAAAAAGGTTTTCATTGTTGCTGTGTTTTTCTATTTCTCTCCAAAACTCCCCTTTGTTAAGGACTTGCTTTGCTGGGGAGCAGAAGCTGCGTGAGTGTGGTTTACAGATGCAAAATATGTTTGAGTGGAGAGTCTAGGAGAGGAAAAGGGAGGGAAATGATAATATTTTTTCAGTGGATTTTTCAGAAAACATCCTTATTTTCCTTCAGGAAGAAAGCTTTTTAGATGTTTTGTTTTCCATTTCAGGCCTATATCAAGCAAAGTATCAGCTAAATCAGACAAGAACAGGTATGGCTCAGCAATTAAGGCTAAAATGACTTAAATTATGATTTTTCTCTACTGATTTAAGCGGATTTGTGCCAGTGTAAGTGGGGCCAGTCCAGACACCAGCATGGAAATGCCACAGTTACTGAACTGCAGTGGTTTCTAAAAAAGCAGCGATCCAGAGATACTTACGCTGTGAAAGGAAAACAGGATTTTAAAATGTGTGGCTGGATTATAACCATTCCTTCTAGAATCGTGTGTTTACATAAGAAGAAAGGGATTTCTTCAGCGCGATGGCTGGCTTGGAATGGTTCAACACAAGGAATTTTACATGCAGTTAGGGGAGAGTGTAATTAAAACCATGCTATGCTCTGTTGCCCCTTACTGTCACAAAATTGCCAGTTCGTCAGTCTCAGAGGTGCTTTTTAAGAACACAAACAGTTTTAATGGACTGGTCCAACCTAGAAATGTATAGCATGGGCTGGCAAGAGAAGGCAAGAAAGAGAAAATTTAATGATGCTTCCAGGCTCTTGTTCTGGGTAACAACTGAGCATAACGGGCTACACCAGTGCCACTCATTTTAGTGTAGAGGATGAAATTATCTTTTCTCCTTAAAGAAGAGGATAGGTCTAGCACACGGTGTCATTGATCATTCATTTGCCTTTCATTTTCCACAGTCTTTGTCCTTTAAATCAACATTTGTACTGCCAGAGGTTGCAGCCTCCAGCTCCTGGTGGCACCTCAGCCTTAAGTGTTATCTCATGATGACGTTTCCATCATCAGTTCCTAGCAATATTTGGAAGCTCTTGATGGGCTTCCCAACCATGAGCTGGAGATTTTGAGATCACCATCGCTACCCATCACTTGTCTTCTTCAAACCTGCGCATCTGTCGTGTTTGAGGAGGTGACTGATGAACCGCAAGGGTCTGCACTTGATCCATTCGTGTTGCCTCTATCCGCACAGTTGAAGCCCTGGAAGCAATCCCATCTGAGTGTGTTTTTAGCAATTTCTATATGTGTATGCTCTTCTTCCCATGTCAAGCACCTTGACTGGTCATGTTGATAATGGCGCTGCTGGTCTGGAGAAACGCTCTTCAAATTAACGTCTCACTCTTGACTTGCTGACCTGTGTATTTAGGTCTCTTTCTACAGAGAATTCAAAAGCAGTGAAGTGATGGGTAGCATAGCACCATCTTCACAAGCCAGGCCCTTATGATTTCTCGATAGGTTTGTTCATCCCTTTCCTCTCCAAAGCAGCCTGAGCTTTGGCATAAGCTGATCCTGCTCCAGCAACCTCAGCAATGTACCGACGGTCTTTTGCCAAGATTTCAAACAATAGTTTATTTTACTGTTGCTAGAGGGGGAGGGCAGCAGGAAGGCTTGCCAGGCGTCCCGTTGGGCGTAGGGTGGAGGCTTCGTTGAACATTTCACTTAGGGTATGTGCTTTTAGCTTCATGGGAACTGGTGCAGGCGTGAAGTGGGGATGCGGGAGAGTAATTGGTCCCCTGGGGCTCTGCCTCAGTACTTGCGGTCACTCCGAAATCCAGCGCACCAACAGGATCCAGGCCGAGGTGGTGGTCTGGGGAGCACCAGGCATTGATGAGCCCCGTACGCATTCACTCACTGCTGCTCTGTGAGGAACCAAATCCAAAAAGGATTTGTTAATGTGTTTCTTTAGCAGAAGCGTTTTATTGTATTTCCTTCACAAAGCCATCAGAGCTCAACAGGAGAATGCCGGACAAAAAGGTGCTGTTATAAAAGGCCATTTTTATTTCCAAACATCATCGAGGCTTGCTAGTTTAGGTCTGTCATTCATAAGCCCCATCAGTCCATCAATCCCCTCTCTGTATATACATTTATGTACATGTATGTGTATATATATGTATGTAACAGATGTTTCTCTCGGAGCATAGTTCCCACAATGGGAGCAGTGTTGAGAGTTCTGTTAGAGTGACAGCTTTCTAACAAATTAGGTCTCATCCCACATCTCCAGAAAGATTTGTTAGCAAAGGTCATACCAAGGTTCTTTATTACAGAAGAATAAATTTCTTTACAAAGTGTTCTGCATTGTTAATGTGAGATCTCATCTCGCTTAAAAACAAAACAGGACAAAACTTGCCAACTCCCCTGAGAAATATCCTGAGCTGCCTTTATCAAAACAAATGAAAGTGCATTTTGTGATGCAGTACTGGTGGTTGTTCTTGTTAAACATGCTTTGTTTCTACAATTGGTCATCTGCAGTATTCCGGAGTTTTTAATAGGCTTCCCAACTGTGAGCATGACTTGTTGAGACTCTGCTGCTTTGAAAGTGCCATGTTAAAACTCCCATTTGTGGCTTTCTATATCCGTATTTTACAGATTTAGCGATTCATATGTTTGCTCGTCAGGAAAAACAAACAAATCAAAGAAATGATGAGGAGCAAATGCAGATTTCTTTGTCCTTTAAGATTAACAGATTCCTTTCAATTTATTTTAAAGTTATCTTCAAATTTTGCATTAAAAGGTTACATATTCTAAGACTAACATAACAATCACATTTAAAATAAAACAGCTTATCCTTCAGTTATACAAGTTCATTTTAACTCTTCATTTTCTCTTTCTTCTTTGCTGAACTTCAGCCGACGTGCTGAGTTTTAAAAGATATTTTTCTTACTCAGAGTACAATAATTTGGTAGGAACTGCATGTACTTTTGTCAAACCTTTAAAACCACAGACTCCTATAAACTCTGCAATTAGCTCAACTTCTGGTTTATGAAAATAATGTCATAAGTCACTGTTTAGCAAGCTTGGGAGAATGGCTCAAGTTCAGCTCAAAAACATTTTGCTATGGGACAATGTGGGACAGTTTTGCTTATGCAGAGATAGCCCATGCAGTTTGTAACCCAGTGCTGTCCGAAATATTTGGTGTTTTTGGTCTATCTGACAGCAATGTTGGTCTAAAAGTTGTTTCTGAAAATTATTAATTGACCGCTAAGAGAATATCTGCTGTAACGTAATTATTTTACCAGATAGATAATACAGGTCATGGGCAGAAATGCAGCATCAGCATTGCTGTGAACACCATGTGCTGGGTTAAACCTCTGCTTTCTGCTTCCTTAGGATGGAAAATGATGCTGAAACAGAATCCCCTGTGCCACTGGATGATTTAAAATCTGTGATGAATGGGAATGAAGGAGACGAAAAGCTCCAAGTTAAAATACAGGCTTTTGAAGAGAAAATAAATGTCGACAACAGCACTCCTGGCTCAGTGCGGAGATACAGTTTAGGCCAGGTTTCTAAAGAAGAAAGGAAGGATATGAGATTTAACAGGTATGGCTTTAAAATGTGCGGGTGGTTTTCATGAATATCAGTTTTGTAATAAAACTTTATCCAGACATTGAGAATTTGGCCCACTTGTGTGATACCTATGGGCATCATAAGTCTAATTTTAACGAAGTCTCACATCCATTAATTCAAAAGCTGGATAAAATCTTTCAAAATTACATATTTACACAGAATCCCAGACCGTTAGGGATTGGAAGGGACCTCAAAAGCTCATCCAGTCCAATCCCCCTGCCGGAGCAGGAACACCTAGATGAGGTTACACAGGAAGGCGTCCAGGCGGGTTTTGAATGTCTGCAGAGAAGGAGACTCTTTAATCTCTTAAAGATTAAAGATTAAATCTCTTAATTTAATCTCTTTTGTGCCTTAAAATGGCACAAAGGATAGCAAAATATTTTCATACAGGTATCACTAGAAAGGAAGATACAGGTACGGGGCAGTGAGGGACTGGAGGCTGAATCCTGCTTTGGTTAAATGGCTGCTGGATGGCATTTTTATGATGTGATCAATAAAGCAAATACTCCAGCACTGGGGTTATAAGTTTTATTGTGGATAGGTTGACGCACCCCACAGCATGCAGATGTGATACATGGATATTATTTAGTTTCATTTGCTTATTAAAGCTGTGGGTTGAGTTTTGCTTTTGAAATGCATATTTATCAAAAGTTATTTGTCCCTGGCTAAGCGAGCCCCGTGTTCAGCTCTGAACCAGCTGCATGGAGGTATCTCAGAAGAGCATGTTTGGGTGGTTTTTGTGTCTTACCTCTATTCCAAAACATTTTTCCTTCCCTTAATCACCTTCCAGGTCCAAAAGCCTTGCTTTGAATGCAGTCCGCATGAAGGGGGTAAATTCGGAGAGCGGGCAGGATGAGGAGAATGGGGACATGGCTGCTGGTATCTCCTTCACCGAGATCTACGTTAGCCAAGAAAATGACAAATTGCCTTTCGGTGTTGATACTGAAGCAATGCAACTGGGAAATTCTTTGGTTTCACACCAAAGTATCGATTACACTGAATCAGCAAATTTGCCAGAATCTCCTAAGGAAAAGGCCCTGGAAGGAAGCACGGAGGCAGAGACGAGCCCCACAGAATACCAGGACAAGCTCTACTTGCACTTGAAGGAAAACCTGGGCAAAGTGAAGGCGTACATCACGGAGATGGGGAGGAAAATCCCTGTCCCCGACCAGTGTGTGATTGAAGGTAGGAGGTCTGGGCCTTTTGGGTTATGAGAACTTCAGTGCTGAAAGTCATCATGGGTTCAGGCAAATGGGCAGCAACAATCCTCTAGCACAGAGGTTGTGGATGGGAAGGGAGGTTATAAAATGATGTTATTCATAAATGGATGGGGCTTCGGGCAGCCTGGGCTGGTGCAGGGGTTGGACTGAGGGAGCTTTAAAGTCCCTTCCAACCAAATCCATGCTGTGATTCTACGATAAATTGCAGTCGTCTGAAATCTTCCAGGACTGTTGTTGTTTTCCTTCAGGGACACAGTGCAGCCCTCGCCTATCCCAAACGTTATGGTTGGACTCAATGATCTTAAAGGTCTTTCCCAACCAAATGAATTGCCTTTTGGCTGTCACAGGGAGCAAACCAAGCTCTCTGGAGAAGGGCAGGACCTGTCATGCTGAGCTGAAGAGCCATGGCCATTGACTGGGGCTGGTGACACCTCTGGGGATGTCTACATGAGGGATGTCCCCCAGCTCCAGGCTGTAAGTTATGGAGCCGCATTACCAGTCATGGAGCTTCAGGGGCTGGACTAGGCTGCACAGGCCTATAGGTACACACATGCTGATGCTGAAACCTCCTCCTTGGCCTGCTGGGTTGGTCTACAGCACACCTGGGTACCCTGCTTTATTAATATGATAATATTAAATCAGTTGCCTTACAAGACACACCAGAAATTAAGCAAGTCAGGACCCTCAGGTCAGCACATCCCAGCCCAGACAAAAATCTCCTTGAAGATAGAGCAGAATGAGATCCTCAGTGCTGCAGGTTGGGTTGGATCCTATCTCCCCACTTCTCTGGGGTGGTTTAATGTTTTCTGCTTTCATTGAAGGTGGGTGTTTGTTTTCAAGTGTGAGAAAGATGGTTTTGTGAGACTGCGGGGTGAGATGGGTGATACACTGTAAGGTAGATGTTTGATGCTCCTCTTTGCAGTAAGTTCTTTAGGTTGGGTTGTGAGCATCTTGCTTATACTGAGCAGCAGCCACTCACCTTAATGTGAATTTGTGTTCTTCAGACCACTTGGTGGTCATGAGAGATTTACAGCCCTTCAATGGGTCGTGTTGATTCCAAAGAGTAGCTGACTCAATAAATTAAATTAATTTGCAGTCACATAAAACATCCTCCTCTTATACTACATAAATTTAGGTCTATCAATTATCAACTTTTTTGATAAAATATTTGGTTTTTTACTTCTTCAGTGGTCAAGAAGTTGAAAAGCAGCTTCCACTCTTTAAAAGGATATAACTATATATGTATTTTAAAAGCTTACGTTTCTGAGGAATTTCTTAAACATCTTAAATTCCAGGTTTACTATTTGAAATGGTTATTTGGTAGAATTAATGCTAAAACGTTTGTTTCATAAAATTACAGTGGAAACATGAGAGTGAACAATCTGGAACTGAAGTGCTGAATGCTGTGACCTCACATTAATCAAATACAATACGTTGAATATTTTTAAATGTATTGCTCAGTTCCCTTTCTGAAGTACCTATTATGATATGTTCTAAGCACACAACTATTTCTAAATTCATTCAAACTATTGTAATTTCCTGAAAATCCTCAACTAGCATTCTTAGGGAAATTCTCTGAGTAGGGACACATGTGGAGAACAGGAGATTCATATGACTCATTCTAAATATGTTGAAGAAAAGCAGTCTGGCTCATTACACAAGGGATAGTTTTGTTAATATTTCAGATATTGCATAAACCACCCCAACAAAACCTTCCAGTTATACGACTTCTGTGATTCCTGCACACTACAAAGGCCCACTCAAATGTATCTGTTTTACTTTTCAAATAAGAGGTTTAGAAAATAGTAAGAAAATATTTGAAAATATAAATATACATAGCTGGCTAATTTTATGTTGGTTATATAGGAGTTTGCTGAGCTTTAATATGTAAAATGGGGAAAATATGAAAAGACAGGGACTTCAGAGCAATTTCCCATGAAATGAAGTACTTCAAAGAAATAGTGGCAAAATCTATTGCAAGAAACAAGCACTGCAGTGTGTCAATAAAGCACATTTCCCCACACGCCCTGTCATTGGAGCTGTGCCTTTCCTGGCATCCAAATCGCCAGTCCAACATTCCTCAAAAGCACCAAAATTGAGAAAATTCGGTTTCTTAACCAAAGAAAGAGAAAACTGAAGGAGGACTTCAGGACAATTTTCAGTTTCCTTGTTGATTTATGAGCTCATTCGAATTATACTATGTGTCAAAATGTATGAAATATTATGTCAAGTGTTGGATTTTCCATCTGTGAGGGGATGTAGGTTAAGAGCCGTAAGGGTGGATCCATGGTCTGCCCATGACAGTTTGAAGGTACCTCCTATCCACGTTGAAAAATGGGCGTTTCTTCAGCTCCGTTACCTCATTCAGTATTTGCTGTTTATTAATTTGCTAATTTTGGTTGCGTGTGCTTCAGGCAGAGGAGAGCGGTGAACTGGGCGAGGATCCGACAGCAGAAGCAGGATTAGGATGGGGCTGTTGGGCAGAATGGCTTAAACTAAGACAATGGCCAAGTTGAGAGTATTTTGAAGAACAGAGAAGCTACAACAGCCGTCTGTATGCATCTGTGCATGTGCAGAAGTTAATTTTTTTTGAACTAACACTGCAATCTGAGAGGGGATTTAAACTGGGGCAAAAAGAAGGCATCTGAAACCACAAAAATCCATTTATTTTAGCTTGTTTCAGTTTGGGGCTGATGGTTTGGTACAGTTCCTGCTTAGTCTGAACCACTTTGCCCAGATTTGCATCTCTACCATACCTTCAGCAATTTGAGGCATGCTTTTATGTCACATTCATCACTTTAATCCTCTTAATCCTGTGGGTATTTTCCTAGAAATCAAATAAATAAAATGCCACCATCTTTGTCAGACGCTCTAACTTTTATGGAGATGAGCAAAGCAGTTTTCACCAGCCCATATTTTTCCAGATGCTTTGTGATCTTACATCTTATCGGTACATCCAAAATCTTGCAGATGGCAGTGGCCCAGACTTAATGCATCTACAATTTCTTGAATGAGTTTGGTTACCGCTTTTCAGTGTAAAATGGGCAGAATTTCCACTGCCTTGGAGTGGCTGGGGTCTCAATGATTATGAACCAGAGCCCTTCATCCTTTCTGCTGTTCCAGCTCTCATGTCCCCATGTGGGGAGAGAGGGCTGGCTGTGGCTTGCATAGGTTGCTTTGAAAGGCTTAGGTGAAAGATGACATTCCTGTTTTGCCTGGTTTAGCCCCAGTTAGGTTCTTGAGCAGCTGGCAGGCTCTACCTGCTCTAACCTTGCTGGGTCTCACCTTGAACCCTGTGTTTTGGACAATTTTTGACTTATTCTTCTTGTTTCTCAGATGTGTAGGGATGGTGGATTGAGTACATGGCCATGTGTATCCTCCCTCACCAACCCTGGATGGTTCCCAGACACAACTCTGTATGGCCACTGGATTTGGTTATAACTTGAGGGCAGGTCCTTGCTTTCCATCCCAGTTCTCCCTGCTCTTTGGATAATTGGTGTAAAAATGCCACCATTAATGCCTACAGCTCAGAGCATTTCATGTCAATGAGCTGCTGGAAAGAAAGCATTTGATCATAGAATCACTAAGGTTGGAAAGACCTCTAAGATCATCAAGTCCAACTGTCAACTCAACCCCACCATGGCCACCAAACCATGTCCCACTGTGCCATATCCACACATTTTTGAACACTTCCAGGGATGGTGACTCCACCACTGCTCTGGGCAGCCCCTTCCAGTCCTTGACCACTCTTTCAGTATAGAAAATTTTCCCTAATAGCCAACCTAAACCTCCCCAGTAATATATGCACGCAGAGGATGCTGAAGGATTTGCACATCTCCAGCCTGCTGAGCCTCCTTTTTAAAAGGAAGGAGCCCAGGGAGGTCCAGTGCGTCATTCAATCTGTGGTCACGTTCAAAACGCAATGCCACTCAATGAAAAAGACTATAACCATTTTATAGTAGTAAGTCACTGCTGGCCCCTCAGTGCCATACAAGAAGAAATACAAACAGCAAACATTTTATGGGATTAATGACAGAACGCCGAAAAGGGAGGAGGCTGCAGGGGAAACAGGTTGCAGTACGCTGGCCCTAAATCTGGTTGTTATTATGTTTTATGCTGTAGTGAGAGATAATCGGTACCATATGATGGTGTGGATGGAAAAGCTCGTTGCTCCCCTGCAGTGCTCGCCCCTGCACCGGTCTGATGAATTCCAGCATTCCTTAAGCCAGGCGCTGATTTGGAACAGATGGACCTGTGCTCCTTCAGTGGGACCACAAAGTTGCATCGGCTCAGGCCAGCATTGCCAGAGATTAACTCTGCTGCTGCTAGGCCAAAAAAAATATCAGTTGGCATTTTATTCGACAAGACCGGTATTTCAAATGCATCCCGAATGCGGGGGCTGGCAGGGAGAGCAGAAGTGCTAACTCATGGATGGCCATTGCGCTGGTGGTGATCTGTGTCCTCAGACCACCGAGAAACTCCCGACGCAACGGGGAGCGTGATGGGAATGTGAACACACTCGTAACTTGCAGCCCTCGCATAGGTGGTGATAGTAAATTACATGAGTTTTACACCAGGTCAGGAAGCTGGTCTCCAGGTGGGCTTTAACTGGTGGGTGGGAGATCCCTGGTGTGGTGGTGTTATCGCTCTCCTGGAGGGAAAAGCCAAACCAGAGGACTTTGACTTCTGGGTTGGAGCAGGACAGACCCAAGGGTTCCTCCAGGCTGGGAGTGCTCACAGGGGGGTTGAGCCAATCTGTACCTTCTCAGATGTGGCTTTTGCCACTCAGATTTGGACTCAGTGTGCCGAGTGCTGTTCAGACCCCATTATAGTCACATGTTCTCCATTATTTTTTCTGCGTCTTACTGGAGATGAAATCTATTGGACCGAGTTACGGCATGCATGCCTTAAAAATTACCTTTTTCTCCTATAAATGTATTTATTGTTTCAATACTCATTTGTAATCTGAACTCAAGAGATCAGGAAAAGGAAACTGAGGAACCTGAAAAAGGCTTAAAACTGAAATTTTAAAAGTTCTGTACATTTCTTATTTGCTAGTTCCACGTTTATAGGTGGGTTTGATTCTGTTTGGGAAATTCATGAGCATACTTTTACTCCTATGAACAGATTTTATTTAATACTAAAGGATTACCAGTATAAACCAAATAATGCATAAATTGTTCCCTAAACCAGTTACTTGGAACATACTTGCCTGTGTCCCTCTTGGTTTAGCCCAGCATGTTAAGCTGGAATAAACAACAATTAACAACTCTGCTGCCATTCTTCTGTTTAGATTTTGTTCTTTTTCCCCAAGCACAACCACTTGGTAGCAAGCTTCCACATTGCAACATATATTCTCTTGTTCCTGTAGGAAAAACAAGTTGTTGCTTATTCCCTGGCTAGAAGTTTGAGACTTGCCAAAGATGTGATGAGAAATGTTTCTTGACTAGAGCAATGTTTGGGGATCTTGACCAATTGCAACCTTCTGGGGCATTTGGTGACTCTGTGGGGTTTTTCTGTGCCTTGTGTTGCCTTTTACACACTCTAGATGTTTTGAATCCTTTCCTTGTGCTACTGGAACTCTCCTTCTAAGCCAAGCCAAGGAGCAGAACTCATCTTGGGGCCTCTTTACAGAGAAGATGTGTCACAGCTGCGAAGCATCAGGGTGTGAGGTCCAGGAGAGGCTGAGATGAGGAGCTGAGCTCTAAAACATCTTGGCTTGAATTGCTATTTAGGTGCTCATCAACAGCCAGGAGAAGTTTAGATTGGATCTGAGGAAAAATTTCTTTACTGAAAGAGTGGTCAAGCACTGGAAGGGGCTGCCCAGGGTAGTGGTGGAGTCCCCAATCCCTTGGAGGGGTTCAAAGCACGTGTGGATGTGGCACTTGGGCACATGGTTTAATGGACACGGGGGGTTGGGTTGACAGTTGGGCATGAGAAGCTCATTTTTCATGCAAGTGTTTTTCTTCTTCCACAGTCAAAGCGTCTACGAGCCTGTGGGGTATCAAAGTGTCATTAGCGTCACAGAACTAGTGGCTGAAATGGTGTTTCCATAAATCCTAATTGAGGTCAGCTGGGACAGGTTACTCGGTGAAACAGAAATTGGCATAAACACCCTGCTTCAAATTTGCTTTCCACATATAGAAGCAACAGTAGTCCTTAAAGTACAAAACTGGTTCTAGAGCCTGTAAATGCATAGCTTAAATGTGACCAAGGTAATAGGCTTAATGTCCTCAGGGAAATTAGTTAATTTTTTCCTTCCTCTCTCCCTCACATACTTTTGACCAATTATATTAAAGAGTTGCAGATCCATTTTTGCTGTAATTTGGACTTCATTGCTTTAAATCACATCAAAAGGACCTTTAGTCAACACTGGATTACCAGCACTCACCAAGGCATGCCATGTGCTGGGGGAGCTGTTGCAGAGCAAGCAGATCTTGGTGACAGGAATCTCCTGGGTGCTGTATCTTGGATAGCCAAAAAGGTTTTCTGAGGGCTAAATTCATCAACCAGGTGAAGCTGGGGTGTGTGGTTACGTGTTTGCACGTGGGGAATCACATAGAGTCAGGAAACAGAGCTGTCTCCACCTTCATAGGCTGAGAATGGTTTCTTTTCACCTTCAAAGCTTTTTTGCTATCTCAGGTCTGCAAATGATTGATTTTTGTTTTTCCTAGCAAAAACTTTTGTCTGCTCCCCTTTCCTAGCTAAAAATATGGACTTAATCCCTGCTCACCCATCGGATTCCCCTTTGTCAGCACCTGTGCATTGCCACGTGAAAATGCAGAGAGCTGTTTTCCCTAGAAATAACTGCCTTCATGTCTCACAGGTGTGAACAGGTCTTGCTATGCTGTATTATCTCTGCTTTAACTCCTCCAAAATCAGGTGGGATTACACAAGGTTGATATTTAGTTCATGGTATTTTATACAGCATCGCAATGATGGACTGGGAAAAGTATGCAACAGAGTTTGCATAAAGCTCAGCCAATTTATGTATGGGTGTTCTAGGAGTGCCCAAAATGTATCTTCTTAGGCTGTATATCATACTGTGCACTTAATTACGCACAATTCATTAATACTACAATGATTTTAAAAGCACCTTTTTCATTCCCTGTGTATGAACACGGTGCTTTGCTCCTCAATGCCTCTGCTACACTTCTACCTTATCCGCAAGGTACAGGAAAAATGACCTCCTGCGATGGACATTTTGAGGTTTAAATAACAGTTCTTTGGGATCCTTGAATAAGATATTATAATAGTGCAATATTATAATAGTGCAATGTTATACTAGAAGTATCAAAATCCATAGTGAAGGTTATTGCTCTGCTACAGTGGGATGCAGTGCATAGCCTCAATAAAAATTGCTATGTGAGTGGGGAAATGCTTGTAAAGAGAGTCATCTTTATCTTCATCAGAATAGGTTTATTATTGAAATATCACTTTCCACTGAATCTGGGACAGCTGAGATTAGCTGTTAGCTATTGAAACTGGTAATTCATCGCAAACCATGGAAAAACACATGTAGTGAACTTTGGCTTGTTAGCAGGCATTGCCACATTCAGCACATAAAATGGAGCAGAAATAGCTGTGAGTAATCACTCATCTCACACCAAAGGTTTAAGGATTGTCTGAGTAGGACGCTTTTGTCAGTTGGTATTGATAAATGAATGCTGCTTTTTTCCAGGAACAAACTTTTTGCTCAACCAGCGTGGACTCCAGTGTTTCAGCTGACATTTATTTTGGCATGCGTTATCAGCCTTGGTATTTTTCTCAGTGTCATCCACAATGTCTTGCTAAGCACTTCGTTAGGTTTGTGTGTCCCTCCATAGACCCTTTGCAATTCTTTTTCCTTATGTTTAGTTTGAACCTCCCGTGTTCCAGTTTGTGTCCATCGCCCCTGGGCACAGCTGTGAAGAGTCTGGTCCCCTCCTCCTGACATAGATATTGATGAGCATTAATGAGATCCCCCCTCATCTCCCCTTCCCCAGGTTAAACAGCCCCAGCTCTCTCAGCCTTTCCTTTTCTGGGAGAGGCTCCAGTCCCCCCATCATCTCAGGGGCTCTGCGCTGGGCTCTCTCCTTGTCCTTCTTGAACTGGGAAGCCCAGAACTGTACGCACTATTCCAGATGTGTTCAGGGTATTTTCTTACAGCGTTTTATCCCTCAGAGATATCACCAGGATAGCACGAGGCTCTGAGCGATGCTCCTCAGCTGCGTGATTCGGTCCATGGATGCTGTGAGCCCTGTCTGTCTGTCTGTCATTTCTGCCTTTAGCGAGGAAACAAATGCAGCAGCAGCTCACTCAGCAGCTGGGGCTGCCCAAAGCCCCAGCACTTCCCTTCCCAGTTCAACTCTCCAACTGGCTGAAGAGGGAGCAGCTCTCCCCTGTGTCTGCATCAAGGTCATCCTCTAAGGACTTCTGTCTGTTGTTTTCCATGCCTTTTTACCTCATGTTCCTGTTCAAAAGGGTTATAAAATGATACTGCTATTTTAAGTTGATCAAGAAGCCTGGTTAGGTTATGCCTAACATGCTGTTACCATTATGAGCAGTCATCCAGAGACAGAAAATGAGGGTCCAAGGTCAATATTTTGCAAAAGCAGAATCATTCATCTCAAGGGCTTCGTTTTCAGTTAAAACCAGCATGGGGAGTTCAGAGCCAGGTAACATTACGTAGCATATAGCTTTTCACTGAGCAGCTGATCCCTAAGGATGCTTTCAGATTGCATGTAACCCCTATGGGATTCTTATCAGCAGATGACGTGAACACAGGTGGCAGAAATGGTTGGGATTTGGCTGCGTGGTGAGGATTGGAGATGTTTTGTCTCTGTAGTGCCCTGAGCTGGGACTGTGACTCCAACTGCGCTTTTGGAGAGAGCCTGGGTGTTGGGTGGGCTCAGAGGATGCTCACAGCCTGGCTTGGGACTAAATTGTTACTACATAAGATTAAAAGCACTGGAGACTAAATTTCTCTGGTACTGTCAGATGGTTTGTGTTTAATTTCATTAAGACACACACAATCACAGAATCATTAAGGTTGGAAAAGACCTCTAAGATCAGCAAGTCCAACTGTCAACCCAACCCCACCATGCCCACTAAACCATGTCCCCAAGTACCACCTCCATGCACTTTTTGAACTCCTCCAGGGATGGTGACTCCACCTCTGCCCTGGGAAGCCCCTTCCAGTGCTTGACCACTCTTTCAGTGAAAACTTTTTTCCTAATTTTTCTAATTTCCTAATTTTTCCTAATTTTCCAGCGCCGCAGAAGCTGACCCAGACTGAGATACCCCCATAGCTAAATATCCCCCCACTGCACATACACTGGTAATGGACAGTGAGGTTTCTGTATTTCCGTAGTTGATTTTAATATGTTGTGTATTTATTTCCAGATACTGTGAGGAGCTGTGTAGCGAAGCTGTTCTTCAGCTGTCCCCTGAAGGGCCATTACTGCCTGTACAGCAAATCCAGCTTTACCCTCACCAGCCACCAGCCCCCACTGTGGATCCACATCATGTTCCTCTTCCAGCAGGTGCCATTCAGTTTTCTGTAAAAACAGTGCTTTTAATGCTTTTTTTAGAGAAAAAAAGAATGTTCCTCTTGTGGTGTGCAAAGCGTTTGAGCCTGCAGTGCATCAGGATGGTGTTTAATGTCAGATAATTTATATTTTTCTTTTGTTCAACATTCTAAAGCTCTTAAGTACTGGATATATAACTATTATTAAATTAAATGCAGGGCACTAAATTCAGCCCTGGGATAATGTTATTTAAGCCTGGGAAATTGTACAAGAGGTAAATTTGACATAAAATGTATCTATAGTGTGTTAATAATGAGCTAAATGAAAGGCTGGTGATAAAAATGTAGTTTTCAGCAGATCTGCTGTAGATTCTCAGACAGATGATGGTTTCTGAAGATTTCAATACCAGTTACTCTATTTTTATTCCTTTTTTGCCAGTTGCTCTATATTCTGTTTGGCATTGCATTCTGCAAAACGAAAGGTGAGAAGAGAGGCTTTGTCTCTCAAGTCTCCAGAACAGACCCTAATGTCATGCCCCTGCTTTCCATTTAATTTTAAAAATATTGGTGAATAGTTAGATCATGTTTCGAAACCTTTGGGTGGAAGTTGTGAAACAGCAAATTATTCTATGTCTGTGTCGGCGGGACGGTGCGATTGGGATTGCTGGGTTTCTGCTTAGAAAGAAGAGGAATGTTCATCCAGGAAACTACATTACAAGAACATTGTTCATGTTACGAAATCAAATGCTTGAAATATGGAAAATCAGATTTGTTTCTGTGCTCTTAGCTTGGCTCCTGCATGCAAATGCATTTTTTATTTACAAGATCATGTAGTGGATATAGTGGAGGCAGAAACACTAAACTCTCTCAGCTGCAGCGGTGTCCTTGTACCACTGACTTTGAGGGGTTCATACAACGAAGAATTTAATGCTGTTGAAACATTAGAATAAGTCAAGGCAGTATCAGGTTGGATCCCTGCTGCCCTTTGAACTAGGGAGCTCTGGATGTGAGAGCGCCCAACCCAATGGAGGTTTCATCTTGTTTTGTGAATGTTCAGGGATGAAAATTCCTGCATTCTGCCAGCGAAATCTGTACTGAGTCTGTAGTTTTTTCCCCTTGCATTTCATCACGGTGTCTGTCCAGCACAGCTACAAACATTGCACTGTTACTTGTCCCTGCACATAGACCAAGAGCTGAGGTTGAGTCCAAATAAACACAAACCTGCAGTGGTGCAAAGCATCTCTTTGTATCAGCTGGTAAATTAAAATAAAAAATTTAAAAGCTCCAAAAGAAATGAAAATATTTGAGGCTTTGTCTAACTGTGTGCATATTGATCCACTGTAATTCCTTGCAGAGAAATGAACTAATCCCTGGTTATTCGCATGGCCGTCCCACTGTAAGAACAAGATGTTCTTTGTTAATGCCCAAGTGAAAAATACTTGAAATCCTGTTTTCAACATTTTCTTCAGAGCCTGTTCGCAGAACCGCTGTCCATACAGAGTCATTCTGTGCAAGTACTAAAGGCCCTGTGGGAGAAGACACAGCTCAAGGGGACGCACAGTTTTGAAACCGCCATGATCCAGTCTACGTTTCCACACCAAAAGGTAAGTGTTTTTGTTTCTCAGAATAAAAAAACATAGTAGAACTTTGCCCTGACTTTCAGAAGAGCTGGGCAAAGACCTTGCAAGTCTTCTCTGTGCTCAAATCATGGAAAGCAAAACCCCTTTCCCTGTCCCTTCCCCTCCTTTGCCTTAGCTCCATCATCTCCCAAGCGTTGACACCTACCATTGCTCTGTACTGAGTTTTGGAAGGTCTCCAGGCTGGTTCTCCACCCTGACGTGATGAAAACCAGTGATGCTATGTGTGGATTTTTTTTACTTTCCTCCTCACAGTTTCAAACTCCAGATTCAGATTAGCTGTCGCTACGGACTGTTTGGCAGCCACTTGGAAATTCACCTAGTTAAACACAGGCCTGGATTTTATGGAAATGATCATTTGCACACGCACCATTAGTTACCCCCATCAGTTTAAAAGATTTACTCTTTCAAAGCTGTTTACTGTCTCCGGGATTTCAGTGAATACTATTTCAAAGCTATTAATCAGGCTTCTTGGAAAAGGAAGCTGTAGGATTGTAAAACAAATATCTGTTTATTCCTGAGCATCTCCATTCAGCTCAATGGGATGAAATGAATTGTCAGCTGCGATTTGAAAATGCTCTCGCTGGATATTGTACGCATGAAGATGTCTGACTGAATAAGATTAATCTACTAAGGTTATGGCTGATTGTAAAAGCAGGAGTTTTGTTAGAAACACCTTCTGAACCCCCAAGATAATGTTGCATTGAAGTGGGAACTCCTGCTGAGTTAGGGGATCTCCACATCCGAGACCCAGCTTATGGGCCAGTTTTACTTCAACACAGTGGAGATGGCACTAAGTCTTTTAGCCACTATTGAAATCTTAGCCTGACTTATCCCAAGGCATTAGAACTGCTTTGCTCCTCAATATTGGCTTAACTTGAGTCTGTGCCAAGATCCACCAGTCAAAAGTGAGTGCCGGTGGAGTGTAAAGGAGTTTTGGGGTGAATAAAGAGCTTAGGGAAGATAGGATTAGATGCAGCACATCGTACACACAAAGTCTACAAAAGATGTCCAACACCCCAGAAACGTGATTAGTCCCCAGCGCATCGGTTGCATAATCCTGCTACTGCTCAGATACCAGCATTTGGCCTATTTTGGAAACTTTCATCACTCCATGACAGTGAGAGTATCTTAGAGTTCCCAAAATAGCAGAGCTGGAAAATGAGATACTGATCTTCACTGATTTAATGAATTAAGCAATGAATTGAAGTTTGGAAACGCTGGGAGCTGCCGATTGCCTAACAGCCTTTGGAGGCTGAAGCCATCAGGCAGACGTAATGCATCTGAAACCATAAAAGACTTCAATATCCAGTCTTGGTCTCAGCAGTGTGCTGCTGGATTTGCTCTCTCAGTTTTGGGTTTGCTTATGAACACAGAGCCTGAGTTTGCTTTTAGTGCAATTTCCATTCAGTTTTCTGAGAAAATCCCCATTGAGGTTTCTGGGAGCAAGACCTTGGCCTGCTGTCAGGAAGATTTCCTTTAGCTTTTACATTCCCAAAAAGCCTAGCCAGAGCATTCCCAGCATGGCCCGGTCCTTACTTTTCTTGACAGACTACGCTTCACCAGTAATCTTAAATTTTAGCTTCAGAAATTCTTCCCACTGCTAATAGAGCTTTAAATACTGTGAAATATTTGATAAAATTATTGTATTATGCTTCTTCTTCTGCCAGTGGTGCAGGAAGCAATATTATGGGAGTGTGGTTGTTTTAATAAGCAAAGCACTTTTAAATTAAAATATTTTAAAGTCTGTCAATGTAAATGCATAAATACAGTGTCCTGTATTATATTTTATATTAGGTTTTATGCATCGTGTTACAGCAAAGTGTGAATTCTTTATCAGAATTGAGGGATTTCTGTGCTGTGAGCATTTTGCAAGCCTGGAGAAAAATTGTTTACGTCAATGGTGTATTCCAGAGTAAATTCTGAGAAATATTTTGAGGTGTACATCACTGTAAGCGATTTCTGAATTTGGCCTGGTTAATATATGCGAGGAATTGCGGCGAATACCTGGCTTACAGAAAGCACGTCGTGTTTCACTGGGCAGCCTGTGAGTACCACAGAAAATATTTATACAGCACAGCTTAAAACGTGCCAGAAGTAAAGCACTTCCAGATGTACAGCCCTACAGATTTCCGTTCGGTTGCTTCACAGCTCTTTATCAAAGTACACGCAGGCCGCGTTAGGAAAACGAAGCTGGTTTGGGGCTGAATTCTTTGTGTTGACTCATGCTGTGTCAGAAGCGCGAGACGGTGACTACTTTACGAGCCTTTTGTGACGCCTTCAGAGATCCCTTTGTTGAGCAGCCTTGCAAGAGAATAATTAACATTTTTTAGGCACTGTTAGCTCTGCTCTTCCCTTCCCTTTGTTTGCCATTTGGGTTTACACAGCAGAAAAAAGCACCACACAAAGTTTTCACAATGGAGTCACTGAAGTTTTCAAGACAATGAACCATGCGGATGAGATAAATCTCTTCTCTCCAACAAGGCTTTTCCCGGTGCTTCCCCTCCTGAAATAAGTGGCTTATTGCAGATTATTTCAAGTGTGCCAGAGTGGAAAAGAAAGATTGCCGCGTTGGTATTTCAGTGGTATTTGTTCTCTTTCAGTCTCAGGTTGACTCATTGCAGCCACTACAAGATTTTTTCACAGGATGGAGAAGCTGATGTTGTGATCTGGGGCCATGGCTCTGAAGTGGTCTTGGGAGTTTCGGATCTTGTCAAAACAGCCGCTTTTGGGCCATTTCATGGATTGAAGGAGGCCGGGGAGGAGAGAGACCTGAAAAGGCCCAAATTGGCCAACTTCATCCTCAGCACAGCCTTGTTCAGTGTGATGGACTCACGGCCCTGGCAAGGGCTGCTGTTTTCCCCAAATCCATGTTTTCCTTGGGCCGCAGTGTGCAGCATTTCTGATCTGTTAAGACCTCATGCAAGTAAATAGGAGAATTTTCTGAGCAGTCCTGGCAATTCCCTCTGTGTTTGCAGTAACTTGGTTGCTGTTATTCAACACCAACGTTTGTTTAAGTGTGAGGTTACAATCTGTTTTAAAATTAAATAACGGGGTTTAAAATACACTGAATACACTGTTACTAGTTGCCTCAAAAGGAGTATTATCCAGCTTTGAAGTGGCAGGTATACTTTATGTACATTTCTTTGATAAGCAAAGCATTCAGTTTACTTTGCAGATGCATAATCTGTACGTCCCTGGCAGAATAAAATTGTATTTACCTGGGGTTTTTTTGTGCAAGCCAAATCAGGCCTGTTGTTGTGGCACTTTTGGAAATGTTAAATATTAACGTTCATCTTGAACATCTGTATTAGTGCTTCTTACAGGAGACAGGAAAAATAAAAATATAAATAAAGATTAAGATTAAGATTAAGATTGAAATACGACGTCTGCTGTGCATCCCTCTGTGATTTTGGGTTACGAGCTGCTAACCGTGCAGTGTTTCACCTCCTGAGTGAGTTTGGTTTTTCTCATTATTGGCCTAGGACCTGGACCACGTGCAGATGCACCTGGAAGAAGTGAGGTTCTTCGATTTATTCGGCTACAGCGAGGAAGCGGGGACGTGGCAGTGCTTCATGTGCAATAACCCTGAAAAGGCAACAGGTAAGTGGTCTGCCTGCCTCGCTGGTGGTGGGGCTGTGCTGGGTGAGGGATGCAGCAAAGCTCATGGATAACGCTTTTCCTTTCAGATGGTCACAGCAGTTTAGGGAAAAGGGAAAGCCGTAATACTTCAGCTATATTAGAAAACAGGATGAGGGGAAAATACACTTTTTTCCAGGTAAAAGATCCTAGTGACTATTTTTCTTAAGCTTTCTCATACCTGTGTGGTTTAGCTTCGTGCACTGAAATTCAGAGGAATGGCCTTTTCCTTAGGTGTTTTTTGCCACTCTGTAAAAGTCTGCACAATTCTGGCCAGGAATTCTGAATATTTTGGCTAAGTGTTTGAATAATTGGCTGTTTCAGCTATTTATTTTAACAGCTAGCAACTCTTTTACTAAATTCAGGGTTGATGAAATATAGTCTTGCAAAGCTCTGCTGCAGGCCAGGCTTTCTCATGCTCATTTCATGGGTGTTTGACCATCTTCCTCCTTCCACAACTCTCATGGGACTCAGTGACCATGAGAGAAATCATGCTTTGAGCTGAAATTTGATCTCAATAATGTGGTCTTCCTCTGGTTTGTCCGTCAAATCAGTGATAGATGTATGTCAAGCTACAAAGAAAATGGATCTGTCTTGCTTGAAATGTCAAAGTTTAATGAAATAGCTTTATTTTGAATTTTCAAAGATATTTAACCAGTCCAAAAAGGAGAGTGTTTGTAGTAAGCTGTTGATATTAGGAAAAATTTCTTCACTGAAAGAGTTATCAGGCACTGGAAGGGGCTGCCCACGGAAGTAGTGGAGTCACCATCTCTGGAAGGATTTAAAAGACAGGGAGATGAGGTGCTGGGGGACATGGTTTAGTGGTGGACAGGTTATGGTTGGACTCCAGAGAGAGTGCTTCCAGTCCTCCAAGGAGAAGAACTTTAAGCAGGACAGGGTACAGAGAGGTCCATGGATCTGCTGTCAGGACTGGGATCCAGACCCCACTGGTATGACCAGTATAGATCTGGTATTTTCAAATGGGTCTGAACTCGAGGCAAGAGGCAATAAATGGCTATGACAGCAGCCAGCGATCCCCAGGGAGCTCCTCAGCACTCCTGGGTTAATACAACAAGATCTTAGAAAAGTGGGGACCGTCTGCAATTGATGAGAGGCTCTTGAGTCTGTGTGCAGAGCACCTGAACTGACATCTTGAGTAGGGTAAACTGTATACATATATATATGTGTGTGTGTGTGTGTGTGTGTATGTGTGTATATATATATATTTGTGTTGGCCTGACACCAATGATCCTTGGGAATAGGGAGCACAACGTGGAGTGCCTGCAGTGGGGGGTTGGCACATCGCCTCTTGCTTACTCATCGTCGTTTCAGGCCAGTGAAAAATGACATTGCAGCGTTGTAGGTTGTAGATTCGGTCTCGCAATGTCCCACAGAGATGAGGGAGAAGGTTGCATGTCTTTGACGGGTCCGCTGTTTATTCAGTGGACCCTGAAAAGGCTGCAGTCAAATGGGTGTGCTGATCCCATGTCCATGGGGCTGCCGTTGTTGAGCCCATCCAGCAGGCCCAGGTACAAATTAGATATTAATTAGATATTAATTCCCCTACGCCGGTACTTATACATGCTGTTGTAATTTAAACTGCCTCTTCTAGGAGTGGAAAAACACATTCTTTTTTTTTATTTACTTTTTATCTAGCTTGTATCTGTAAGATGTAAACTGAAACCCAGTGGAAGAAAACGGCAAAAACAGCACTGAGGTGTAAGTGAAATGTTGTCTTCTTAGCAGATGCAATGACTCGAGACTTTGCTTTCTTTTTCTTGAGTACCACAAGGGTGCTTGGACATCTGGGAGAAGGTTTTACCTCCTCTGAAGGCCCCAAAGGTTATGGCTGCCCACAGGTCCACCTCTCATGTTTCCAAGCTGTCCTCCTCCTGCCCAGCCACCGAGACCTTCAGAAATGTCAGCATCTACAAAATCCCCATTTCCCTTTGATTTTGAGCCAGGACTGAAGTTCAGGGATGCTTTTGAGAACGGTCAGGAACAGGAGGAACTGGGCACAGAACGTTTTTTGGCTGTAACCGTGCTTTTTATGAGTAATCACCCGCTTTGCCTCAATTGAAAAAGAATTTCGTAAGAAAGGCCCATTGTGAGTATTGTGATTTGAGTCTCAGCTCTGAGAACCTTTAGAAGACCAAGAAATTAAAATAGTGAGTGGGTCACACAAAAGCTCAGGTGTAGGAAGGGAATGTGGAAGATGGTGCTCAAAGGAATTAAAATTTGCAGGTGAATGACAAATTCACCTGGGTATTGGTGATGGAGAGCTGGGAAAAGCTGTACCAAAGCAGGACACCCTCCGGGGTCTTTTTGGGTTTATAAGATCTGACACAAGCAAGAGGATTCAGAGGTCTCCTTGAATCGGTAAGAAATGTAAAGGCTGCAGATCATGTTTTATTTCCATTCCACAGTGGGACAGACCCTTTGAAATCTCAAAGACTTTTGAAAGACAAGAAAGTAATTTCTCCCCCTCAGCAATGCTGTGTAGCAACCAAATTCTTCGTAAAGAAGGAATTCAAAGGCAAATTCTTCTTCTGTTCTTGCCTTTTGTTTTTTGTTAATGTGGGGTTTTGTTGCATTTTTTGGATGCCATGTTGCAAGATGCCATTTATCCTCCAGACCTAGGAAAAAGCCTTATCCCTTAAAGCCTTGATTTCGCCTTAGGATGCCAGATCAATGATGGTTTGGGGGTTTTTTTGGGATGTAGCTGGGAGGATTTTTGGAGCCAGAGGCAGTTTGTGAGGAAAGAGGCAGCTATGCTTAAGCAATGTGGTGGATCTACCCAAAGTGGCAATTAAATTAACCCAGAGAAAGTTGGAATCTTTCTCATGCATTCTTTTGATTGCAAAGTGTTTCTTATACAACCACACGTTACCAAAATTGCTGTTAAATCATCCCGAATTGTGTTTTGTTGGGTTTCTTTTTCCTGAGCCAAGGGGAAAGAGCGTTCCCACAAATCCTACGCAATATGTATATGTGTCCTGACTCTGCAGCTGCTTTCAGAGCTGGGAAAACCAGGTTTATATATAAAAAATAAATATATGATATGGTGTATGATATATGATCTATAATATGATATATCATATCATATCATATCATATCATATATCATAACTTTTTAAAATGATGACCATTCAAGCACAGATACAAGGCATTTGAAATTTTGGAAAATGCAGCGTTGTGGCTCTTGTCAGGCCCTAAGAGCCCCATTTCAACATAACCTCCTGTATTGGCAGTTGCCTTCGCAATCTCTTGCACACAAAATAATTCAGTAAAACCACTCAATAGCTGGAGAAGGAATTGCAGCATATTCCCTGCTCTGGAAGCTGACAAAGAAATTGCAGTAATCCCTGTGGGCTGCAGAAGAGACATTGTGCCCATGGGCAATAATTCGGGTAAAACTGAGAGGTTTTTTTATGAATTCCTCTTTAAAAAAGCAATTCACTCAGAATAGCCTACACCATATTAACTTCTGAATACATTTATCTTTTGCTAGCAGTGGTGATTATCCAGGGAACTGAAATATCCCAGCTATAATGCTCGCTTGAAAATTATAAAAAGTGGCATTCAGTAATGTGTTCTTTCCAGGTTTTCAACAAAACCAAATGTGGTGATTAATGGGAGAGAGTGAATCCCCATTCCCTCAGGTTGATTGCATTTATCTTTGCCCGCCTGCCACCCACACATTCCTTTCTTTCAAGTTAAGGGGAGTTTATTATCACTGAGATCACTCATGATCCAGCTGAATTTTTGTGGATAAGTTTATGTTTCAGGAAAGGCAAGATTTAATGCTTTGGGTTTTATCTGTATTGAGTTCATCTTGGAAGAGTTTGGAGGGTTGCTTTTTGTTTTGGTTTGGGTTTTCTTGGGTTGGTTTGTTTTTACTTTTTATTCAGTACCCAAACTACTTAAAGCTTTTGATGCATTGCAGTTCTGCAAAAAAAGCACGATAGAATTAATAGAAAATAATTCCAGCGGACACTTATATCAACGGGTGCTATTCAGGGTTAAATTGATTTTGGAGTTAGAGTCTCTGTATTGAGGTAGTTTAAGAAGCAATCAATATTACAGTAAGTAATTTTTCATTTTGAGTTTGGGTAATATTTTTAGCTTTATTGTGTGCTCTGCAGGAAAAAAATAATGAGAAATAGATAATAAATATAACCTTTTGAATCCTTTAACTCCTTTTTTCAAGCTGAACATCTCATCACACAGCACCACACAGTGATTTCAAACCCAGACATTATGTGATCACCTAGTTTGACCTTCTCTAAAACGACAGCCAAAGAATCTAGTCCAATCATGCTTATAGCAACAAAATGTCTTCTCTTTGATCTGTATTACATTTGCATATTTTTCTGAAGATGTCTGAACCTAATTTTTTAAAGTCAAATGAAGACGCACCCATGACATGCGCAAGTTGTGCTCTGGTAATCGCACCACACTATTAAAATGTGGGTTTATTTCTGGTCTGTCCCTAAACACTGCATCATATTTTGCCCTTCCCTGCTAAGCAGAAAATCTGTATTTGTAGCCTTTATTACACCACATCTTGATCTTTGCCTGGACCAATTACATTTCAACAGTTTCCCGTGACATGAATAATCCTGTCAAAGATCCATCTTAAATATCCTTGTATCGTTTTTCTGAAGTCTTTCAATTTGTCCTTATTCATGTGAGGTGAATAAATCAAAACTAGACATAGTTTTCCAATAACTAACTTCTCATGATGCCCCTTGCTAAGAGAGCTCCATGCACTTACTGCACACAGCAAGCACTGAACACCTGCAGTGGTGACCCAGTACCATCCAAGTAAGGACCAGGACAGGCTCCAAGGAGATGTTCGGGGCCGAATTAAGGAGGGGGTGAGGGACAAGGGCTGGTGAAGGGAGAGCTGAAGGGGACTTCATAGCGGTCTGCCCATACCTACAAGGAGGTCCCCAAGAAGATAGAGCCAGCCCCTTTAGTGGTGCATGGGCAGGAGTCCCCATAAATGGGGACAGGAGAGGTTCAGAGTGGCTGGGAAGGAAAGCTTTCCCACCATGAGGAGGATCAAGCACTGGAACAGCTTTCCTAGAGATGTTGCTGAGATTTTCAAGTCCTGGGTGGATAAATTAATCAGCAACCCAGTCTGACCCCATAGGAGACCTTGCTTTGAGCTGGAGACCCCTTCAGCTCTCTTCCAGCTGATTTATTCCGTGATTCTGTGAAGTTAACCGCAATGAAAATAAGCAAAAGGACTTGGGAAAATATTGGAAAAGAGCCTTGTTCTTATCTTTCGTGAATCTTTTTCTTCTAATCAGACCCGCAGACATACTGGCATCAGATTCATTACGATGACTTTGGGAGCTGCTGTCAGAAATCCCCACGGGTTTCTTTGTGGATGTACGTGAGAAAAGCTCTGTTAGCTTCACTTCAGCCACCGGCTGCTCAGAGATCAGCATTGCTTCAGTAAATCCCGGTTTTTGAAAGATTTTGGCCATAAAAATCCACTTTAGGCCAAAATTGCACATTCACTTCCTTTCTCATGTCACATTCCTAAACATCAACTATCTCAGTATCTTCTGGTCCTCAAACTTTCTGTGCTTTACACCCTCTTAGTTTGGATGGATAATTATTTTCTCCGGTACTGTTTTGTTCAGTGACATTTAATGATATCTCGTGTGCATCTTGTTACCCGTGTGAGCTGGATTTCAGCTGCTATTTCTGCTCTGACCCAGGTCAGTGGTTACTGGGGAGCTTGGCCACAGGATATTGTTTCTCTTGCCCGGAAAAGGAGGAGTGTGCTTACATGGGATTATTTTGCTGTCGTTTCACCAGCAGTTAATTCTACCTGTTTTAGACGAGTAAAAATTCAGCACAGACTGTATGGCATGAAGCTCTTTCACAAAGATGCCTTTCATAAAACTCTTTCATAAAGGCCAACGAAGACTTTAAATGCCCTCAGCTTTGCATTTTCTTGGTCCCATTTCCAAGATTTTCACATAAACTGTGAAACTATTTATTGGAAAGCAGCCCCAGCTATGCTCCTCTGAAAGGCTGCGAGAAAAGATTGCCAGTTGAGGGAACCTCTAAAACAAGTGAAAATGTGTATCTGTAGTAGTTCTGAAAGCGATATTTAACACAATTGCAAAGATTTTATTAAAGGGTACATTGTAAAATGTGGCTCCATCCCACTAAAGAGTGCGTGATGAAACGGATGCAGCCCCGAAACAGCTTCCCTGTAAATTGGTGCCATTTTGCAGTGACAAAAATCCCTCGGGGAGAAAGCAAGCTGCTGTTTTACTTTGTCCTGTGTTGGGCTGGGTGGTAAATATATAGCAAAAGAAGCCGCTGTGTAGAGGTCGGGATGCAGGGGGCTGAGAGGAGCAGAGCATGACCTGGTTTTATCATGGAAATCGCAGCTGCGGTGACTTCCCCCATTGAAACAGAAACTTGGCCACCCCTCTTTCCATTCAGCCCGTCTCCTCCCCGAAACTCCCTGTCTGCAGCGACAGAAATATTTACAGTCTTTCAGGAGGAAATTGGAGTAGTACGCGCTGAAGACCCCCAAAGCTGGCCTCTCTGCCAGTATAAACAGCGTCAGGGAAAAAAATGCATTCTTTATCTAAATCCAATGCATTGTATGTGCGTCATTCGGTTTGCCTGCACCAGACAGGAGGTAGTGAAGAGAGGTACGTGCCCAGAAAGCTCACACTCCTTCAAAACCTCCTGTTGGCTGCGCTTGGCCGCCCCATTCCCCTTGCATCCTCAGCATCGCCCCAACTGACTGCGTTTGGGGCTCTGAAATGATCGTGCACTGACAATAGCAAATATTTTTAAGGAAAAGCTTTATTTGATAAACTTCCAAATGAAGGTATGCAAGCACGGCCAGCCAGAGGATAACCAAGCATCTGACAGACGCTGGGAAGGGCTCCAAGTCAAACATCGCATCCAAAAACATCCACTCTCAGGCTGCTTATGCCTTGGACCACTCTTCAGTCTATCTGCTCCATCATCTCCCGTCTATTGGGGTAAAAATAGAAGAGAAAGGAAAAAGAAACCCAGCTGTGGTATCGGGGAGTTTTTAGATGGTTTGCTCCAGATGTGAAGAGCGGCGGCTCAAGGTTGCTCTGTGGTTGTGGTCTAAAGCTTTTGGTTGCTGGGCTCTTCTGGGGCTGGAAACTTCTTTTTTTTGCATGTGTGGTTTGGGAATGCTCCTCCAGCTCCTGAGAACTCCCCTGCTTCCAGCTGTACCAGCAAATATTGATCACGATCAGTGCTGGTTCTTGAGGTGGCTGCAACCTTAGAAACATGTGGTAAATCTCGTGATAATATTGCAATAAGGGAAAAAAACGGTTTCCTTTCCTCGAGGCTTTATTTGGGTTTTATTTTTAATGGAACTGATTGAAGGAACATCTACAGTGATGAACAGAAGTTATTTTTCTAAGGCAAATTGAAGCCACTTTTCAGAGCACTGAACTGGAAAGTGGCTGAGCTGAAGGTGTGTGCTTCCATGCCAGTGACAGTCATTACAGTTGCTGAACTCTGCACTACGTATTTTTAAGCACTTTTTAGATTCTTTTTGGCCAACACACTGTAGCACAGGTCATGGGTTGAGGACAGAAGCTTTTGTGTCTCTCCTCCTTCCTCATCTTTGGCTTCAGCAGAGTTACCCATTTTGTATTTAAAGTAGGCTCTGTAAGGATGGTATTTATGTGCACGTGTGGCAGTAATGCTGTTTCAGCTCTTACTGGCTCTTGGGTGTTATGGGCCAATGACGTGTTAATATTTGTAAGTAAATTTTGCCACAAGATGGTGAAAACATCGATGTCCTCAATGGGAAATGTGATGGAAAGACCTTGCCTGTTCTGAGGGAGCAGGACAGACCACAGGTCCCAGGGGCTGAGCTCTGAGTTGCTCTGGCCTTTGGCAGTCCAGATGCCAAAAGAAATTGTGTTATTTTAGAAATGCAGAAGTGATAGAAAACGTCACATTCCCAACTGGTCAGTGCTGTGGGGTTTACAGGATGTAAGTTACTCCAGGTTTGTTGTCTGGATTGTTTTTTATAATTTGGATTGCTCGTGTTACATGACTTGAAGTATTCCTGAAAAACAAACTAGAAAACATTATAGAGATGTAACAGGGACCCATACAAAATGCAGGGCTAGGTTATTCCTTGGATAAGGGAGGGCTGATAATAAATGTGTCCCATTCCCAAGGGAAGAAGGAGCTGTGGCACAGGGTGGTGAGGAAGGGAAGGGTCATCCCTGGGGGACAAAGCCCTTGGACTCACCATCGCTCACTACTGAACTCTGTAGTGTGGATTAAAGCCTCAGAAACCACATAAATACCTACTTTCAACTGCATGAAATTATAAATTATTGCAGGGCTGAGGAACAACTGGGAGGTGTAATGGTGGGGAGAAGTCCATGATGGCTAAAGGAATAGAAAAAGTGACGGTCAGGGGACCAAGCTGGAGCACAGGAGGTTCAAGCTGAAGATGAGGCCAAACTTTGTCAGGGTGAGGGTGGCAGAGCATGGCCCAGGCTGCCCAGAGAGGTTGTGGAGTCTCCTTGTCTGGAGACACCCAAAGCCCTGGCCGTGTTCCTGTGTGACTGCTCTGGTGATCCTGCTCTGGCAGGGGTTGGACTGGATGAGCTTTCGAGGTCCCTTCCAACTCCTAACATTCTGTGATTCTGTGGGAGCCAGAGCTGTTGGCCCCATCTGCTAGGATAGAGCCATCTCCCAAGACATGACCAAGGGCTGAAATGTGTCTCTGAAGTGACAGCCGAATGCCTGAGGTCGGGAGGAATGTGGTCCTGGAGCTGACACAGCCAAACCACAGAAAACCTCTTTGCACTGTGGAAAAAACCTGGCTTTTGGCCGGGGAGGACAAGAATAACCCCCTCGTTGTGTGTTCACCTCCCCAGGTGTAAACCAGGATGGCCAACCTCTGATTGAAGGCAAGCTGAAGGAGAAGCAAGTCCGGTGGAAGTTCATCAAAAGGTGGAAAACTCGCTACTTCACCCTGGCTGGCAACCAGCTGCTGTTCCGGAAAGGAAAATCTGTAAGTCAGAAAAAACTCAATTTGATTTCACTCTTTACCT